TAACTTTATGAAAACTTACAGGCAAAGGGAATAGCATTATCGTAAATGGTGCAAATGGTAAACAGTACAGCCAACCGTTAACCGTGATATAATTAACAGTAAGCTAATCAACAGCCAAGCACGCAGATAATGATTTTATTAATCAGGGAGTCCACTGCAGACAGCTTGGCAACAAGCCCACCCCTGAATACACAAAGTACATGTCAAGGTTCTACCTTTCCTCAGAGCTTGTGCTGCTCCATGTGCTGGCATCCATCCGTCCCCAACCATCTTAGGTTTCTGCAAAGCATTGTGGGTTCCTTCTGCTTTCAAGCCTCTGCGGCTCCTCCTCCTGGAGGGTGTGGCTTATCACATTTAAGCCTGCTGTCTTCAGCTGCTCTTTGCATTTGTGTCCTGTCTGTTGAATTGCAACAAGCTCCTGTTAGTGTCTCAGTGGTCTCCTGGATATCGACTCGGTTTTGGCAAGACTCCTTCCTGGCTTTTGACCCCGGCTCTGGCTCCATCCTTCCTGGCTTCTGACCCCGGCTCTGGCGACCATCCTTCCTGGCTTCTGACCCCGGCTCTGGCGACCATCCTTCCTGGCTTCTGACCCCGGCTCTGGCGACCATCCTTCCTGGCTACTGTCCTACCCAGTCATCCGCTGTTGTACTTGCATAGACTCTGTCTCTTGTTTTTGTACAATAAACCTACCTTTTATTGCACCTCCTTGTGTGTCTGGCTCCTTGCTCCCTGACAGTACATTACACATGCTGTCTTTCAGATGTTTGCTTTCACTTGTATAATATGCCCACCATAAGACAAAACTCATACAATATTCCAACAGTCTGAAAAAGTGGAATTCACAGACTTCTTAAGGGAGATTGGTGATAAATATTTCTGGCCCAAGTGGAGGAGCTTCTCCAACCCAGTATGCAGGAGGATCCCATATTTCCTCTGACCATTAACCTGTACAAGATGAAGATTACACCTTTCCATCCACCCCAGAAAGGAAGCTGTATTAAACAAATTAAACCAAGCCTCACTCTCAGCAGTCATCACGTTGTTGTCCATCATTAGAGAATATTCGGCTCTCTCCATGGGCCATAATCAGTGGGTAGATGGCTAACCCCTAGTCCCCTCCAAAAGCCCCTGTCCCAGTTGGGTTTGTCACAGAGAGCATCTCCAAGACTTCAGGTCATGTAGGTGGTTCCCAGTCTGCAGTGGTCAGGTCCTACCAAAAGTGGTCCACAGAAGGGGAAAAACTAGTGAACCAGCAACAGGGCCATGGGCAGACAAGGCCCATGTAGTCCATTCCAATAGAAGAGCTACTGTAGCTCAAGTTGATGAAAAAGTTAATGTTGGTTCTGACAATTTGTCAGAACACACAGTGCATCGCAGTCTGTTATATATGGTTCTGCATAGCCACGGACTGGTCAGGGTGGCCATGCTGACCTGTGTCCACAGCCAAAGGCACTTGCAATGGGCATGTGAGCATTAGAACTGGACCATAGAGCAATGGAAAAAGGTGACCTGGTCTGATTAAGTCAAATTCTGTGTGTGTGTGTGTGTGTGTGTGTGTATATATACACACACACAACACATGTCACTTTATTAGTTACACCTGTTCAATTACTTGGTAACAGAAATTGCCCCTCATTGACTAACATGGGATTTCACATGTCGTGCGACTTGGGGTCTCACAAGTCGGATCCCAGGTTGCGACAGTATGAACCGAGCCTAAATATAGGTTTAAAATTTTCAATTTAAGTATGCATTCTTAACTCAAGGTTCCTTCTATTGCTCTCATCCTTCTCCAAATCCTCTTCCAAAGAATAAGAATATTATTCAGTGCCATTTTAAGTCACTCCCACTGTAAGTTGTGACTTGACCATTCCCACTGTGTGCCCTTGCATACTAGGGTTTGTTTACTAAAGCTGGTTCCATCAGTATCTCGTGTACTTCTGCATGGAAACCAATGAGATTCCAGATTGTATTGCTAAAGCTTAATTGAACAAGCTGAGGTTAGAAGCTGATTGGCTACCATGCACAAGTGCACGAGGTTCTGCGTGAACCAGCTTTCATAAATAAACTCCACTGTTTGTGCCTTCGGTTGCCCCCAGGTTTTTCACAGTCTTAGCAATGGCTCCACTGGCCAGGTGAGTTTCTTTCCTATAAAAGCGGGACCAAAACCAAAAATTGATGTCTGATATCAAGAAAAGCTATGGGCTGCTCTTCTCTTCCCTCCAATAGAGTAGGTAGAGTACCACTTCTTGGCTGTCTGCAACAGTTGTGGTAATGTGATCTGTGAATCTAATGTATAACCCCGCAACTAGTGACTTTCTGTGTATTTCTCTGTCATGATATCTGCAATATTATTGCTAGAGGTCTAAGTCATTGCTTTGTATTTAGATCATTGTAAGGATTTACTAATTAGATCAGCTACAACTTGCATATAGCCAGTACAGCAACCGAAAAAGTCAGTCCTAAACCACTTATACATTGGGGTAGATTTACTAAAGGAGTAGAGGCTGTTCACATAGAAAAGTGTATATTCACTAAACTTCATAGGTAAGATGAAGATCATAGGAAACATCTGTTGTTTTTATTTTTTTAGACTTCCACACTATTATATTGCGCACTACCGCATTGTGCAGTAATGCACTTTGTGTGCTGGAGTGTTGTGGTGCCGTTCATGCCGAATGGAATCCAAACACACCTGCTGGAATGAATAACAATAAAGGGAAGCGCAACAGACTAATCTCTCTCATATAAAAATAAATATTGAACAATAATTTAAAAAAAGTGAGGTGAGCAGGTTTTTCACCTAATGGTGGTGGCACGGTTGGCACTGAAGAAGAGAAAAGATTTATCTTTTACACATTGCAGAGTAGTGTTTATTTCATGGAATTTTAATTATTGTTTAATATTTATTTTTATATGAGATATTAGTTTATTATATTGTTAATTATTTTGGCACAGGTGTTGTGAAGTCACTAACCGTGTTTTAGCAGCAACTATTTAGAGCACTATCATATTATTTTAGGCTGTGTTGCACTGATTGAATAGGGGTTTACAAACACACTTGCTGTCCAAGAGTGGAACTCCCCTCCCCTTTACAAAAAAAATGTGCATATTGCTCTGTGTGCTGCAAAGAAAACACCTTTGCACCCTATGTTAAAAGAATTAAAAACAAAAATAATTTTTCAACATCCGGGTTTTTCCGAGACACTGGTGATGTAGCCAGTGCCTTCCAGATGCTCCCTGGGAAGGCTACATCAGCAGTGCACATGTGCGGAATCTGGTGCAGACCTCATTAGTGGGGTGGCACAAGGAAAAAAAAAGTGGAGGATGTGTTTTTTTTTTTTTTTTTTTTTGTTTTTTTTTTGAGTAGTAGTGACACTGGCCTTGGAGCATGGGTAGGACAGACTAGGAGAGCAGGGGAGGAGGAGTGTAAACGTAAGTGCCTTTTTTTTTTTTTTTTTTTCCCAGATGTGCCTGTTATTAAATGCTGGTGATTTGAGGGTGAGGTCTACTGTAATTTAGCTAAGTTTACGCATGACATAACACACCTTACCGCCCTGCACAGATATCAGTGGGCTCTTGCTTATGGCTGGGTATTCAAAGTGAACACAAGTAACAAAAGATTAGCTTTTCAAAATGAATAACTTCAACTCCTTCAGTAAAGAGAGCTGGAAAATACATAGGGGTTAATTTACTAAACAGTCAATGTGATAATCAGTGTGGCTTTGTACCATTGTTCTTCAATATGCCTGTCAAGTGAGAGTCAAGGAACATAAAGTGAAAATGGCATTAAAATAATCTGACTTTATATGCATCTTCTTTTTTTTTTTTCTGATCTTATCCTGAACCCCACTGGTTTTCTGTTTACCATTTCAATTCCAGCTGGTTGGACTATGTGTTGTGACCAGGGGCGGACTGGCCATTTGGAAACTCGGGCACTGCCCGAGGGCCTGGCATCAGTAGGGGGCCCCATGAGATGTACCTTTTTCATAGGATTTTTTGAGTTTGGGCAAGGACACAAGGGCCCCATGATCCCCTATTGCCCGGGGGATCCATGAGTTATCAGTCCGCCCCTGGTTGTGACTGGTGATCATAAATTTCAGGACAAGGACTGCACTTCTTATAGTGTTGACCTTGTTGACGGATGGCTGATCGTAGTGACATTAGCAGATGGCGCTGCAAGAAACACCGTGAAAAGGATGAGACGTCACCAGCACTCCGTGGCATTCATGTACACTTTGTATTAGTGCAATGTCACATCAGTAAAGTAAGCTGATGTTTTGGGGTCACGAGGATCCCTTTCTTGAAGTGACATAGTGCCCTTGGTGACCTTACATCGTTCCACTGTGAATGTTGATCAGACTATACTTTCCTTTTTTCTTATATTTATTAGTTATTTGGTGCAATTAATTATACTGATTTTGGAATCCATTGCTAGAGGGTTTTTTTTTTTCATTGGGAGGGTGCATGTGATCAGCACAGGGCCAATCAGCACTGTCCAGACAGGGTTTGGGGTTATGCAGCCTCAAAGGACAGTCAAAGCAGAATAAAAACTCCTCCTACAAGCTTTAACCAGTGCTTAGCTGGACAATGATAGAAGCCACAAGACTGCTATATACTGCTAATGAGGACATATTTAGCAGTTTATATTTACTAAAATAATTTCATTTCCATGTTGTGTGTACTATGGGAGAGCAGATATAGCGAATGCAGGGTCCTGGGTTTAGTAACATTTTAACCTGTTGTATTCAAATCGGCAAACCAGAACTAGAGCTGTATTTAATTTCACCTATGACTGCTGTGTCTTCTGGAATATAAGAATTGACCTTGACTTGAAAAAACTATTTTGGTTTTGTGCTGTAGAATTCTCCAAATCTAAAGCGCCAGTAATGTAAAGCTCAACGGAAACCGCATAATTTACAGCAGTGAAAATCTTTTCAAAACTTGCTCAACACTGTGAGTAATACATATGTATGCTTTGTCTATGGTTTCACTTATAGGCATCATTCCCAGGGAACCTGCAGCTTGTCATTGTTTTGCGTCCTTCAGGAATCTTCCATCGCGCCCTGGCAGATATTGCCTTGAGATTCAACAAAGATGACTTTAAAATGAAGGTACCGGTAAGTCACCTGTAGCAAGTTTGTTGTTTAAGTTAATGGAAAGATATGGTGTTGGGATAAACTTTGTTGCTGCAAAAATCCTTAGATAAGGTGTGGGAAGTCAATGAAAAAGTGTAATAATAATATTAAATTGGACTCGATCTGGAACTTTTCAAATCTACCTGAATAATTATCTGAGTATAAATAAAAAAGGCATAGAGTTTAACATTAATAAGCAATCCTTGACCTCTGCCAAAGCTGGGATAACAGGGTTGAAAATCTTTACTGCATAAATTGTGTCTGTATTCTCTAAATATCCATGCATGTATGTATATAGTATGGTTACCATTCACCTGTTTCCTGGGGACTTTCCCTCTTTTGAGGGGTCTGTCCCCGGGAAACAGGCATCCCCAAGGGAATTGGCTCATTCAGGTGTCATTAAGCCACATGTTCCAGCAATTTGATTCCTAGACAGAAAGAACAGTCCAAAACCTAATGTGCATGAAACTTTGAAGTCTGATTTATCTATTCACTACCCCCTTGGTCACAGCACAACTAGCTATGAGTGAAAATCCTCCAGGAATTTCTAATTCTGCATCTGTTCACTGAGTAGTGACATCCCCAGACACTAATAACTTATTGAAATCATTTCCTCAGAAGTACAGGAGAAAACCTGTCTCCAGTGAAGACATGGAGTATATACAACTTATATGAGGAATGTATTCGAATGCAGGAGAGTCTGGAGAACAACCATGTCTGGGGAAAATAGTGCTGCTTGACCATCTTTAACAGGGGGTCTCAATTTCCTGCTCATTTGAAGCACATATTGGAATGGAGGAAAGCCTGGAGACTATCATGTCTGGGGGATACAGCTCTGTTTGACCATCCTTAAAAGGGGGTCAGCATTTTCTGGTGAGTGTACAACTCACATATACAGTAAGCACTAGTGGGGAAGAGGAATCCCTGGGAGTTTGGCATTCACTGGCTTTCTTCTAATGGATTTTCAGTTTAACCTGTAGTATTGGGTTATACACATTTTGGACTATAACAAATATTTTCTTGTTGTGGTTCCATTGGGTTTGTTTTGTGAATTTACACAAATTGAGCAAACACCCTTATTCAATATTGTGATCCCCAAGGGAATGGCATACATAGATGGGCAGAACAGAGTCTTCCCTCCTCCAATCCACAGGTAGCCCCCGTATAACTGCAACGTGCGGAATACCCCACACCTGTCAGGGAGGGGGCATGTCCAGATGGAGCTTACAACACGGGAAGTTCAGAGAAGCATAACCTCAAATGCAATGCAGCCCTTAGATATGTCACTGCCTATGGACATCTTCTATTCTGCTGACTCAGGACTAAAGCAGCAGTCTCTCTGAGCTCAGCCATGGGCAGCCACACTGAGGACAGCTGTGAAAACCAAGAAGGGACAGTCCAGATTAGCTGTTGCTGCTGCTACAGAATAGAAGAGGCAGTGCCACAAGGGACAACAAACAGCAGCACAAGCCTAGCAAATTCCAGATTTCACATCAGCCTGAAGTGGACCAGCAGCAGTATCCACTGAAGAAGGGATGGGGCAAACTCTGCTTGGAAGAGAAAATAGGCATAGAAGGAGGCCAAAAAAAGTTTGCAGGAGCATAAATAGGGTGCTAAAAGGGCAGACTGTTTCTGCTAGGTAAGATACTTTCTTTGGGCAGATCTTTAACATTTTTCAGCTATCTGGAATATTTGATATCATTTTTTTACTAACAGCACCTGTTTGCTTTGTTGCCCTTGATCTTATTACAACTGTCCTGCATTCTCTGCATTATTTCTAATGGCATCCCTGGATGGTGCAGGAGACTGGGATATACAGGGATGCAAAGCACTTGGGTTTTTATTTACTCACAGAATACAAGGCATACACTGTGACACAGCACCCACTATATTGGCCACCCCCTAGGTAGGTAGCCTGCCACATTTGTATACCTCACACCTTCAAGGTGTCCCTCTTAAGTATGCATGCATATCTTATTGGCTCTTATTTGAAATCTGTTTCATTTGTCTTTTATACCTTAAATGTCTAACTCTTGTTCAAAAGTCTGTGACATTTGTTTTGAGGGATTGTTAAAAATAGGGATGAATTTGTGAGTGGGGTTAAAAATGGAGGTTTGATATTTTTGTGGGTGTGGTTAAAAGTGGGCATGGTTAGTAAAATGTTCCTGGATTTCATTTTGAAAATTTGATAAGCTTAAAGGATAAGTTCATCTTTTCTAACATGTTTCATCTGTATTCAGCTTCCAATAAAAAAATAATAAATGCACATTTATTTATACCTGCAAAAAGATGTTCATTTATAATTTTTTTGAAAAGATGAACTTATCCTATAGATTTAATTTAAAGCCGACCTTGCACTCCAAGCAAGGTCCGCTTGTTTAGCATGCAACCCCTCCCCCACCACCACCCAGACCCTTGCCAAAACAATGCATTTAACTTTGAAAAAAAACCTATGCGGGCAAAAAAGTAAAATAATATACTCCATTCCCTGCTGCTCAGAGTACAGGGGTGACATCACCATTTGTGCGACAAGATCCTGGGTATATTGACAACTCCAGATCTCATGAGATGACATTGCAGCAAAGTGCAGAATCCTCTTCTTGTGAGATTTGCAGTTTGCAATATTTCTGAGGATCTCACTGAAGCGATCATGACATCATTCTTGACTGGGCTCCAGGGGCAACATAAGTATAATATTCTAAAATATTTATTTCTCCCCCCCCCCCCCCCCCCCCCCCCCCCCCACGCTTTTTTTTTTTTTTTTTTTTAAATATTTTAATTTTTTTTTGCAGTTTATTGGAGCATTTTAGTTAGAGGACCACAATAAATCAGAGGACTTTGCTATTCAAGTGCATGGTCCTTTTTGAATAAGTTGGCTACATTTGATTTTAATGTGTAAATTCAAGTTAAAAACACACTATATAGTATAAGTTTCAATAGTCATGTAATTTTGGATAGAGTGATCACAATCCATTTTAAACAGTTACTTTTTTTTAGAAGAGTTGTTAAAGTGATTGTAAAGTCTTAAATTGTATTTTTTAAAATAACCGGTTTATACTTTCCTGCTCTGTAATGGTAATGTACAGAGCAGCCCCAGTCCTTCTCTTCCGGGGTCCCTAGCCAGTACTCCATGTTCCTCCTCTTCTGGGTGTGCCCCCATAGGAAGCTACTTCCTATTGTGGCACACCTGGGTGATCAATCCCTAGCCACGCTGCCTCTGTCCACTGACACAGGACTAGGGCTCAGCCCTAGCCCCCCCCCTCCGCTCCCCCGTCACAGGATTTGATTGACAGCAGAGGAATCAATGGCTCATGTTGATCTCAGCAAATCCTGCAAGAGCGGAGACAAGAGAGAGCCACTGAAGATGGGCAGTGTACTGGACTGTGTGAGAACTCAAGTATTAGGGGGAGGCTAGGGGGCGACATGTTAACCTAATCCTTTTTTACTTTAATGCAAAGACTGCATTAAGGTAAAAAATGTTTAGGCTTTTAAACCACTTCAAAGTTGTTGCTTTATTTTAATAATTCATATTATGGTTTTCTATAGTACCATGTGTACCGATTTCCCACTTTGAAACTGTGCACTGTAATAAAGGCTCTAATTTCTACATAACTTGGCAGTGTATGAGGGTTTGCACATTGTCCTTGGCACAGCATTTTTGCATTACTGCTCTTTTACTGCTGCTCTTTTACTGTACATTAGCCAACTAATTTCTCTAATTTATTTTAGTTTTTTATTACAGCTTATGTTGAAGTGGAACAAAGTGGATCTGTTTTTATTATTATTTTGTTTACATTATCTATAATTTGTTTTCCTTTATTAATATATATCATACATTACATGTTCTACCTGTGACTTTAGTACTCGCTGCAATTAAGGTTACACATTACTATGCCTGTTACGGTAAAAGAAGCAGAAGCCAATTAACTTGATTTTTTGATTGTGGAATGAGAATGTGGCAAGAATTATGAACCCCACACAAGCATTAGGAGAAAATAAAAACTCTGATGTAGATGGTTCTCCTGGTTTTAGCTGAGCCCAGGGTTTCCTTATTTCAGGGCAATAATTCTAGCTTGTAGCTATGTTATGCATAGAAGAAATTTCACAACTGATATACAGATAGTTCATGCTTTTTACCATTGCCTATTGCACAGATCATAATGCTGAATTCAGCCGCAGAATTACAAAACTACATTGAGAAGACACAGCTCACAAGAGACCTAGGTGGCACACTGGATTATTGCCATAAAAACTGGCTTTTAAATCGGACGGTAAGACCTTTTTGTATTTTATCATGGGGTTTGGACTGATATTTGGCATGTGAACAGCCTGTATCAGATTGAGAGCTGTCTTTGTGATTGTTATGCATTCTACAAATGCTGTGATTAGTCACTTTGGGCCCATTAGTGTTAAAGGGTCACTTCACCCAAATAGTGAAAAGAGAAATGGGCGTGATACAAGAAATGCCATCATCCCTATAAGAATACAGTGGAAAACCCTCTTGGCAATGGGACTTTTAAGGCACAAATTAAACCAAAAATATTATAAAGAATAGTTTAAAAAAATGTTTTATTCATACAGTATTGTAAATGGCATAAAGTTACAAAATATGGTGGTATCAACAAACGTGGTTTTACAGTAGATGATGGAAAATGAGTATTTGCACATGACACGTTTCGAGACCAATCATAATCTCTTCTTCAGAAGTGCTCCAAAAGCATGACACACAGCCTCAGGTGGGGGCAGAAGATGTGAGAAAACTGCCAAGATTAAAATCATTAGTCAGGTGAGTGTAGCCGGTGACTCCACAATCCTCTCATAGTGGGAGTGAAGAAAGAAAAGGACAACCGTCGCTCTATTCGTCTCCTGGAGGGGCCCCTCTAAAGCCACCAAGGGGCGACCAAGTGGGATACCTAATCCCCAGTATTGGTCTAGGTAGTATAAGGGTGCATAAGTGGCAGGAGACACTTAATATGGGTAAGTGATGACTTGGCATCCAAATCCCAAAAACGGAAAACCTTATGGTGTTATAAGCCAGGTCTGATTAGACACCATGGCTGCATCACATTCGGTGATACCGCCATATTTTGTAACTTTATGCCTTTTACAATACTGTATAAATATATTTTTTTTAAACTATTATTCCTTATAACATTTTTGGTTTCATTTGTGCTTTAAAAGTCCCATTGCTAAGAGGGTTTTTCCACTATATTCACTCAAATATGATCTTTTAATTATAGCTAGGGACATATGAGCTGAGTCAGTCCCTGGCTTCCTAATTTTTTTGCTACTTTGACAGTGAAATCTTTGACTCCTAAAAAAAATAGTTTGGGGTTTTCCCATTTTACCCTTTTATGTTCCAGCTTCTCCTTTTGCATTCTCCATGGTAAATAAAAAATCTAAAGGGATCATTTTGTAGCCCCTCATAATGGCCACAGTATGTGCGCAGGCCAGAACTAAACTGCAGATATCTTAACAGAGTCCTTGAGGAATAGAAGAATCTGTCAGGTGGTTTAGCACTTTTGCATCTATCGAAATGGAGTGCTAGTTCTAAATTGACTGACCCTTTAAGAAAAACTTCACGTAAATGTACAATTTTTATTTAAAAAAATAGACTGTATAAACAGCAGTTACATTGTGTTCCACTGGTTTGTTTTTCCTTCCGTCTTGTGCCTTCCCTTTTTATACTATAGTATAGATTATTCTATAGCATTGGTGGTCAACTGGCTACTTTCCTAACTTGCTGCAGCACTTCTGGCATGACCACTTTTTAACTCTTCGCTTACTTAATTTTGTTAGAGTGATTAGGAAAGTGAGGTGAGAGCCTACGACCAGAAAGGGAATAGCAGTTATTATGATATTGGTTGTAGATGATGCAATAATTTAAGAATTATTAGTACCACGAGCACATTTCAGATACTTACTATTGCCCCAGTAGACAGCACTATGAGCTTGTCTTTTGTGCTTGAACTTGTAATTGTAACATACATTTCTGCTAAAATTGAATACGTTATAAACTTTTTACTGTGACGCTTTGTTTTCCTAGGCTATAGAAATATAGAAAGTTGCTCATCAATATGTTATAAACCTATTACTGTGACATTTTGTTTTCCTAGGCTATAGAAATATAGAAAGTTGCTCATCAATATGTTATAAACCTATTACTGTGACATTTTGTTTTCCTAGGCTATAGAAAGTTTTGCTCTAATGGTGAAGCAGACTGCACAGACACTGCAAGTTTTTGGAACAGAGTTGGCCGAGACAGAGCTCCCCAATGATGTGTCTACAACCAGTGCTCTTCTAGCTGTGCACACTGAGAAGAAAGACAAGATGAAGGTGAATAATACACAACCATCTAAACTTGTGTCTACAGGGTTGGCCAAAGGCCCTCTTACTAGTACTGCCTTGGAATAGTACTTATAAACAGTGATGGAGGATTGCTGTTGATGTGTAAAGGTTGATTTAAAATAACACATTTTATCAATTTTTCCCACACATTATTACAGCGCTTTGCATACATATTCACACACACCCTTTTGTCTTTCACATTTTGTAGTGTTACAACCTGAAATTAAAACTTATTTAATTGAAATTTTTACCATGAAATTTACCTAGCATACTTAAAGAAATTCCAGGTTTTGGACCAGCTTGGACCAATGTAACTATGTATATACCATATCTGACCAATGCCCTGTGAAGCTGGAATTCACTGGCTGCTGATCGGAGAGCACCGGAGAGAAGGGTTGCTAAGCTCCATTGATGTTAGGGGACTAAGACGTATAGTGATACTGCAAGTAGTTAATCCAAATGCACACATTCCTGCATTTAAAAATGGCTGTGTGTATAATTGGGTGCTGCAGCTACCGTCGGCTGGAACGGAACAGAATCAGCAAGGGAGAATGTCACCAGCACACCAAGGGTCACCAATAAGGGTCCAAAAGTTTTAATGAATGATCGCATAGTTACAGCAAAGCAACATTTTGGAGTCTCGCAGGACCCCTTCATCAGGCATGTGAAATGTGTCAAATGCCTGATGAAGGGGTCCTGCAAGACTCCAAAACGTTGCCTTGCTGTAATTATAATTGTTTATTAAAAGTTTTGGACCTATATTGGTGATCATTGGTGTGCTGGTGACATTCTCACTTGCTGTATATGATACTGAATACCTGCAGAGAACACTGGGAGAGGACTAACATCTCATTGCGGTGTGTTAGGAGAGCGCTCACCCACCTTCTGTGTGTAGACATGGTAGGCTCAGAGACATTTATAGGATAAAATGAAAACATGGCCTTATTAGCTTGAACATAGCTTCCAACTGGCCTCCCATTTGAAGCTTCTATTGTAAATATGCCAATGGATATGCCAATGGATTAGCCAATGGATTAGCCTAAATAGAAATGGATTGAGATGTTCTGGGTATCCTTGGAAGGGAAGACCAGTCATGGCAATGGTCACCCTACTTAAAGAGGAAGACATATGAGAACAAATTTTGTTAGGTCTAGTGATCAGGTGAGAGCATCTGAATGAAGGTGGCTGGATTGCATTGTGTATGGTGAAGTGGAGATCTAAACAATTTCTGACGGAGTGTGTTCACAGTGTGCAGGACTTTCAGAACAGTTATTTCTCTCGCATAAGGAAAGAGACACATATATGCAAGACTGTTGAAGGACTAAATAGAATTTGTTTTTTTTATAACGTGACTCTCGTTATCCTCGGTTGTATTGATGTCAAAAAAGGGCCCAACCTTTTATTGATCCTCTAAAGGGTGTCTCTGGGTTAACTTCCACCCAATCAAAAAGGTGTGGAGGGTCTGTTGGATAGGGGGTTGGAATGTCTTATGCTACAATCGGCACACCCTTGCTACCAATCCTGGCTACATATTTATTCCCATATGACAAAGTTTCACAATCTAAAGGCCAGCATTTTATATTGCAGAATGTAATTGAGATTTGTTATATACCAAATATTATATAGCTCTCTTATTTCTTTTAGGAGGTCCAATGTTTGTGTTTTGTGTTTAAACTATTGGTATCTTATACATAAGTCTAGTTTTTTTTTATAAAGATATATTACCTTTAGAAATCATGGAATATGAATTAGAACTGAGAGTTTGATATGTACAGTGGGTAAAATAAGTATTGAATACATTGTTGTTTTTCTCAGTAAATATATTTGCTACTGACATGAAATGTTCACCACATGTCGGTAACAACCCATGCAATCCATACATGCAAAGAAACCAAAACATGTTTATGTGTAATAAAATGGAAAGACACAGGAAAAAAGTTTTTAACACGCTAACTGAAATTTATTTAATACTTCGTACAAAATATTTTGTTGGTAATGACCACTTTAAGATGGCTCCAGTATGGAGAAACTGGTTGCATGCATTGCTCAGGTGGCCCATTCTTCCACACAGTCTTCAAATTTAGAAGGTTCTTTTGGCCTCTTCTATGAACTCTGACCTTTTTAGTTCTTTTCATAGATTTCCTACTGGATTCAAGTCAGTTGATTGTCTGGGCCATTCTAGCAGCTTTATTTTTTTTATTTCCTTGAAACCAATTGAGAGCTTCCTTGGCTTTGTGTTTGGGTTCATTGTCTTGCTGAAATGTCCACCCTCATTTCATCTTAATCATCCTGATTTTTATCAAAAATGTCTTGGTACATTTTTCCATTCACCCTTCCTTCAATGACATGAAGTTTGCCAGTACTGTATGCTAAAAAAAACACCCCCACACCATGATGTTCCCACCTCCAAACTTCAATTGGTATGGTGTTTTTGGGGTGATGTGCAGTGCCAATTGGCCTCCAAACATGGTGTGTATTTTGGTCTCATATGACCAGACTATATTCTCCAAGTATTTCACAGACTTTTCTAAATGTTCTGCAGCAAACTTTAAACGAGCTTCATCATTTTTTCTTCAGCAATGGGGTCTTGCGTGGTGAGCGTGCATACAGGCCATGGCTCTTGAGTGCATTACTTAATGTTTTCTTTAAAAGAATTGTACCTGTTAATTCCAGGTCTTTGTGAAGCTCTCCAGAAGTGGTCCTTGGCACTTGGACAATGCGTCTGATAATTCTTTTCACTCCTCTCTCAGAAATCTTGCTAAGGACACCTGGTTGTGTACAGTTTATGGTGAAATTATATTCTTTTTTACTTCTGGATTATGGCCCAATGAGTGCTCACTGGAACATTTCAGAAGTTTAGAAATCCTTCTGTAACCAATGTCATTAGTATGTTATGCAACAATAAGGATGCGAAGGTCTTGAGAGAGCTCTTTGCTTTTACCCATCATGAGATGTTTTTTGTGTGACACCTTGGTAATGAGACACCTTTTTTCAGGCCATCAGTTGAGACTAAACCAGGTGATATTAATTTGCACTGACAAGTGGCAGGACTGCTTTCTAATTACTGATAGATTTCAGCTGGTGTCTTGGCTTTCCATATCTTTTTGCATTTCCCTTTCTTCATGTGGTCAATAGTTTTTCCCTGTGTCATTCCATTTTATTACACATAAATTAAAAATGGCGACATGTTCAATACTTATTTTACCCGCTGTATAAAAATTCAGTTTGACTCCTAGATGTGTATTGCTGCTTTCCAGATTTTTTTATGACCGTGCAATTTATAACAAAGCCTCATTAGCAGTTCTTTGAAGGCCCTGCTAGGTACGTTTGGTAGAGTGGATATAGAAAGTGCACAACATGCAATTTGTGCGTGAGGCCCCTTTCACACGGGTGTTCCGTATGTCCGTTTTTCATCTGTCAGTTTACAAATGAAAAACTGACCCCCACGTATTTCTATGGACTTGTGGGTGGAAACAGATGAACATCTTTTTACATCCGTTAATGTCCACATCCGTTAACATCTGTGTTTTTTTTTTTTTTTTTTTTGAATGGAAGAAAACCCTATTTTTCTTCTGCAAAAAAACCCAGAACGGACGAAAAACGTATGTCAACGGATCGTATGCAGCCCAGAAGGTCAGAAAGAGGGGGGGGGGAACGAGCGCCCCCCCCCCTTCCTGAACCATACCAGGCCACATGCCCTCAACATGGGGTGGTGCTTTGGGGCGGAGCCTTTTTTTTTTTTTTTTTTCTTGGGGACGGCGGCAGGCATCATAATTGACATTGGATCTACTTCGGAGTACATTCTTTTATTTTCCTTCTTTTAATAAAGGACTTGTCAAAGACTGTCTCCTGTCTTTTCTCACACTACACTTTTTTTTTTTTTTCTGTGAATTAGTAGCGTTGTACCATGTACCCCATACTCATTCACATGGGGGAGGGGCCAGGATCTGGGGGCCCCTTTGCTAAAGGGGCTTCTAGATTCCAAGAAGCCCCCTGCCTGAAGACCCCCACAACTTAGGGTTGTGGGGAAGAGGCCCTTGTCCCCATCAACATGGGGACAAGGTGCTTTGGGGGGGTCCTACCCCAAAGCACCCCCCATTTTGAGGGCATGTGGCCTGGTATGGTTCAGGAGGGGGCGCTTGCTCGTCCCCCCCTTTCCTGACCCGCCGGGCTGCATGCTCGGATAAGGGTCTGGTATGGATGGAGGGGGGGACCCCAAGCCATTTTTTTAAATTGCTGGCTTTTTTTTTTTTTTTTAACTACATTCAGCTGTCAGTGGGGAACCCTGCTGACAGCTGATGACTAAAAACGAATGAGTATACAGAAGAAAAACTGATGTAAACTCACCCGTTTTTTTTCTTTGAAAAAACGTGACTGAACTGATAGAAAGAAAAACGGAATGCCCGTGTAAAAGGACCCTTAGGAGAATGTGTCTGCAGACTGAGCAGTGCCTGCAGGAGAAACCTGGAGAGTGTGATGGGGGAGGGATACAGGGGAAAGAACAATTTGTGTGCTTTGGTCATGAGATCTTATTCAGGTAGGACCAGAAAGAGGCAGATTTACACAGTAGTAAATTGAAAGCAGAACCTATGCGGCTGTGACCAGACCCTCCGACAATTATTTATTCATCTGACATTCATTGAATATGCAATGGACGGTGCTGCTGCGCAGTAGGCTGCAATCCTGCCGTTTAATCAGGCGCAAGTCCATTTTCAAATATCTTAATGGCTCTGCTGCAATTGTTTTTACATAGAAGTTTATATATATATATATATATATAATCATGAAAACAGACATTTGATTGTTGCATAAGTATATATCCCCCTAAAAAAAAAAAAAAAAAAAAAAAAAAATACCTCTTGCTGCAATTATATCTGCTTGTCTCTACCACCATGTCCATTCTTGGCAAAACCGATCTTGTTCTGTCAGCTTACCAGCAACAGTTTTAATTGCATCATAGATTCCATAGAAACTGTTAGTAGGTTGTCTTAATTCTTTCTGTAATTGCAAATGTTTAAAATTGCCATAAGAATGGCTTGGATAGTGGAGGAAAAAACTTTGCAGTATTCTGTACACTGGATCTGCTTCACTACTACATGTTCAGTGTACCATTCACTGAAGAGAGATTAACATTATTTATAGCACTATCCACTCTAATAGCAAAGGGACCGTTATTCAAACCACATATGTATAACCTTGATGCTATAGTTCATGGCAATTCCTTTTTATATATGTCTTTCATTGGTATTGCAGGATGACCTGAAGCTGGCTTTGAAGCAGGGTAGTGACATCTTGGAGCAAATTAAGCAACCTGTGAAAGAAACCCCAGAATACAAGATGAATCAAGACCAAATGGACAACCAGACAACTGTGGAGAGGTGAGAACAGTTGAGTAAAGCAGGTGGTAAGAGGTAAGAGAAATCCTTTCAAAAAGGGAAAATGTGAACTCAAGATTTAATGATTTATTGTTGCTGCCTCTTGTAAAAGATATTCCAGGATCAGTATACTGTATCTAGAATTATGCCTAGTGTACATGAGGTTGGGCTTTTATAAGAGACTATATAACAAGAGAAACCAATATAATGGTTTACTTTTTGGAACTTTAACAAATGTTTTATACGTGTGAGCTTCATAGATGTAAATATGTTTGTGAAATTTGTTCTTTTTCTGTAATATTAGTCTTCCACTACTTTTTCTAAGAGTTACTTTTTTTTTTTTTTTTTTAATGAAAAGCACAAATGAGAAACCATGTTGTTTTCCCCCCTGTATTTTATAAAGAATTAGCTGTTTTAAGAACTTTGTAGTTTGTCTGATTCCTTATATTTGCACCTCTGCCTCTGTCTCTCTCTGGGCAGTGCTTCACAATCTTTGCAGGGGGTTGGAAGGCACCGTGCAAACCTCTAGTGTCCAAAACCATATGGGCTCATGGCTGCTATAATACACTTTGATACTTCCCAGTAACTGTACAGATCACAGAAAAGCATTCTGAGCAGCAGAGAATATTACATAATTCAATTTGCTGCCATGTGTGGGGGATAGGAGCAAGATCTGGCAAGTGTACGTAAAAGTACATTACTCTTTTTAAACATGTTAGTGCATTTTTTTTTTTTTTCCCCTATTTTGTGCAGTGTGAGGCATTTGTGTTTGTAATATCTACTATTAGAACTTTAAATCTCTATCATCAGTTTCTTTTAAGCATATCTCTTACCAACAAGTCGTTCATAAGCTTAGCAGTCTGCTTTATGACAATCAGTTATATCTTGCAGCTTTCTGTAGCATGGTGCGCTCTCTTACCATATAGCATCCTTAGATGTCAACTTATGAGCTAAAGGGGCCACAAACGCGGAGCTGCATGTAATGTTCAGTATATGTAGTACTTGAGAGAATTGTCAGAAACTGCACTCCTAGTAGAGGAAATGAAGGTCTGAAAGTGTGAACATGCTACATTTTTGGCTAGTGATATGCTCTGGAAGACCATGGGAAACTGAGAACATGTTACGTGAGGCTAGTAGACATCAATGCATTTACACTAATCAATGTTCCCACTACAGACGCTGAGGTCCAAGAGCTGCACATCATTTATGTGTAGCGTTTACTCACGTAGGAGCTGCTATAAATTTCCCAAGTTTTTCCCTAGCCAGGTACATGAGCACGCACAGTCCTCAAGCAGTCTAGGGGTGTTCTTTTTGCCTTTATTTTTGGAGAACTTGGATGGGTTGAGGGAATTCAGTGGGATACTCCAAAAACAGAAACTATGTACAAGTTGTAGACCGTAATCTCCTTTCTATGCAGCTGAAGCAGAAGTCCTTGCATACAGCAAACTGTGAACTTGGCTTTGTAATAAAAGTAGTAAAAATACACAAGCAGCATCTTTCAGAGCAAGAAGAGCAGTGTCCCTTTACAGAGATGTAGATAGACTGAGCTCTTTGGAACTTTTCCCTTTAGAAAACACACTGCTGACTCTCTAGCACAAGAGGAGTGTCAAAAGTCCAAAAAACTCTCTAAGATCTCTCACATCCATCTGTACTCAGATTATACAGGGGCAGTTGGTTGCTTCCTTCCAACTTCCAAGTGACACCTTTTCTCCAGTGATGCCAGACTAGATCTTTAGCAGACAGACCCTCAGTCAGCTCTCTAGCTTCAGCATCCAGGCCCTCAGGTCCCCCACCTTAGGCCTCACAAACAGCAAGTACATGCCAGTGTTGCCCTGGAGGGCAGTAGCCCTCCAAGATGGACTGATCATCTGCAGGAAAAAACCCAGAAGCCCAGTCTTTCAGAGTATTTATGCAGTTACCCAGAAGATTTCAGGGCCTTGCTCCCTGGGATTGGTCGGGGACTGCATAAATATTCATACTGCCATCTGCATAGCTCCACATCTGTGTGCCAGAGAATTCTACATTTGTCTGAAAAGCAGAGAGAGCTATCAGACTAGCAGCAGCTGAGAACACTGAACTGACCTGATTAATCATCTACAGTGAGCACACCTAGATTTGCCTAACACACTAATTGCAGCCACACTGGTTACAGTGAGCTAAATTTACCTAACAAAACACGGACATCTCCACTGAGCACAGTGATCTAGTACTAAATCTAACTAATCCTAGCAACCATCTAGGAAGGTGCTACATATGAAAGGGCCGCAGATTGGACTCCAGGGCTCTAGGTTCTTCTGTAATGTTGCAGCTGTTTCATGGCCTTAGAAATGCATTTTGTAGTGTTGCATGTACGAATGCTGCAGGTTCGTGGCTTTTCAAAAGCAGATTGTGAGAAGGCAACAGATTTCAGATATGGATAGAGACATGGCTCCAGAGAGGCAAAGCAGTTCTCATTTTCCCTTATGTTAAAAGTATTGAAAACCCTCTGCCTGTGCATCTGTAATGTGTATGTAGTGCCCTCCTTGTTATCTAGGGGGAGCTAGAGCCCTGATTGATAGAGAGGAGGGCTGAGTAGCAGCCTAGGTATAATAGGCAGAAGGTAAAATTGTGGTCAGGAGCTGAGAGGCTCTGTAGCCCCTCTGGAATTTCTCCCTGCTCTAGGGCTTTGGAGGAAAGCCAGGAGGCAGTGGGTGGATCTGAGGAGTGGTTGGCTTGCACTCTTGAGGGATCCTAGCCAATCTCCAACAGAAGGCTTGGCAAAGGGCTGGGGCACCCTTAAGTGTTGAAGCCTGCTCAATTACAGGAGAGTTCAGGTGGAAGACAGTGAGGAAGATGTGAGGCTGAAGGCAGGAGGCTGCCAGGAGACCCAATGGGATGGAGCCTACCTGCAGGCCTGGAGCTGGAAAGGAAGAAAGTTTAGAACTGCACTGGCCCCCTGAGCAAGGACCACCTGTATGGCAGGGAAGTAACGACCCAGCTAAAAAGTCTGGTAGTAGCCAGCAAGCTAATAGTGGTACAGGAGAGAATCTGAGTGCATACCCCTGCACCCCTGTGATTTGCTACCTGCTGTATTTGGGATTGTCCACTTTTAAAGTAACAGGCACCAGGTCACCTGTTCACAGATACCTCCAAATTACTGGGTGAAGAAGAGGAGTTCATCTAGGGTCTGGGGTGGTACATTAAGGAGATGCTGGCTAGCTCTCCAACAAAGACTGTGCTGCAGTGAAGGCTTGTAGATCGTTGCAGGAACTTGTCCTCAGTTCATCCGTTTCCCTTAGACATCATGTACAGCCCTAACCCTATCCAGTTCAGATCCCCTAAAAAAAAAAATACAAAACCAATGCTCAAGGACTGATCTCTGATTCTTGATGCAAGCTGTGTGAAGATGCGTGTTGCCTGGCTGTGCAGGACTATAGGGGGACCTAAATCTCTAGCGATTCCTAAGGGGGTAGTGCTACATGTAGAAAATTAATCCTTTTTTATTTTCATGCAGGCTTATTGTACAGCTTAATGAAACAGAAACCGCTTTTGATGAATTTTGGTCTAAACACCAACTAAAGCTTGAACAGTGCCTGCAACTTCGGCACTTTGAGCTGAAATTTCGAGAGGTGAGTTTTAATATTATTTTTTAACGCCTTTAGGCTCCATGCACACTGGACGTTTTGATAACTCTGGTAACGTTAGCTGTGTAAAGTCACGTTAAAAACGTGAATTTTCAGCTTTGTTTTAGCGCTTTTGCATTAGTGTTTAGCGCCATTTTTCCATGTTTTGTGGGGTTTTTTTTTTTTTGTTCGTTTTTTTTTTTTTTTTTTTTTTTTTTGTAGTTTTTCACCCCCCAAAATTTTTTTGGGGTCAAAAAAAAAAAAAAAAGTCCAAAAACATCTGTTTGCGGTGTTTTACTGCGTTTTTCAGCATTAGAGCATTTTACAGCTGAAAAAAACTCTTCTAGAAACCCACTAGTCCTGGGGTTTTTTTTTCCAGCCAAAAAACGTCCCTACCAAAAAAAGCTGATTTCAGTCTGTGTGCATGGACACATAGGATAACATGCTGGGGAGTTTACTGGTTGTAGAAAAAAAAGTCAAAAGCCAAAAACAGCCACTGTAAAAAACACCCAGTGTACATGAGGACTTATACTGAAAAGAATAATTGAGACTTTGAATTTGCTATCTTAATTCCAAAATCCTGTGGTAAGGGCCTATCTTTGCAAATAACAAGAGGTGTTCCAGTTTTCTTATTCAAAATTAATTCTGTTATTTCTAAAACAAAGCTTGAAAGTTAAAGTATGCCATAACCCCCCCCCCCCCATAATATTTGGTTAATTACTCTAACAGTTACTGGCCTGTGTTCAATTTGAAAAACTGTTTGTTAACTTATCCACACACATTCACTCACTCTTTACTTTACGAAATAAACCAATGTAAGAGGTCAATCAGGCCAAATATTAATTTTTTTGCCCAGAAGTAACTGGGATCACAACATTTGTGCCTATTTGTTATGCAACTAAGATAATTAATTAATATAGGGGGTCTGCCACTAAAATAAATGTAGTTCACACTTTACAAGTACTCGCCTGCAATTTTATTTTTGGTAATACAAATGGTTTATACTTTACAAAATGTTACCTTTATTAGGCTAGCCATTAAATCCAATTTAATCTGAAAAAGGACATGTTAAGTATTGGTGGCTTTATGAATTTTGTTTGTTTTTTTTTAACCACAGATTAACTAATCTGGAAAAATATGAGTTTCAAACATACATGCTATGTCATTTACATTTCAATTTAGATTAAGGCTGCTCTGGACAGTATCTCTGAGAGGGCAACAACATACAGAGATGTGGGGAACAGCTGCTCACATGTAGAACACATCCTGAAGGATCTTTGCAGTTTTGAGGAAAAGTCCCAGGTAAGAATGGTCTTTCATTTTGTTTTGGACCTGCTGAACTTTTTTAGTTCTACATGTTTCATAAGTAATTTGTTTCATTCTATCCACTGAAAAAAAAAACAATTTGAGCTGTGCAATCATCTGAAACAAGCCACTTTACATTGAGCTATTTTTGACCACTAAGCATTTAATAATTTATGTCCTTCTGAAAACCAGTGTGCTTTTTCCTAGGAAGAGATACAGACTGCACAAGCGTTAGCAAGAGAAGGTGACCATCTTATTCTAAGCAATCACTATGCAGTTGACTCTATCCTTCCAAAATGTAATGAGCTTCATCACTTGTGTGGGAGCATCAGCAGTCACATCCAGCAGAGAAGGGAATATCTTTACAAGTCTTTAGAGCTACATCGACGCCTAGAGAAGGTCAGTGATCATTTGTTACTGTAAAAAAAATATTCTCATACTAGAAGTGCATGTTCGTGTGAATGGCCGTCTCTTGTGCATATCTGTTCTCTTTTAAAAACTTTGTTACATAAAATATTAAGTTATTGTTTTGCAAGTTTGTGCAGCTAGAGCATACATAAGGTCCACAAATATATTTGCATGTAGATAAAAATGTTGCAAATTAATTTATTTTAAATACCACCTTTTATGTTATCCTTATTTTAGACCCACTGATATCATCACTGGGTCTTTGTGCTTCACTAAGCAGTGCAGGCAGATCATGGCTGGTGGAAGAGGCCAGAAGGGTGCTGTACATGGCTTCCAGAAAACATTACTACACCCTGTCTCAGTACTCCTATCAAGAGCCCTCAGTCCTGATGCAAGTAGTAGGCCAGTTCATGGGGACATTATGAATATCAAAATGCCTTGAAGGGTAAATGTCAGTCTGAAGAAGTGTGGGCATAGGTAGCACCCACGTGTGATCGTAATGACGCATACAAATAAGAAAATCGTATGAAAATTTTTTCATATGAGGACCGATCATGACAATTAATGCAACAATATCCGAAGGAACAAGAGCGACAATGTTTCTCGTACGATACCAGATCGTTTTTTAATTTAATCAGTACAGTAGTCGTCCGACTAATACAAATACAGTGCAATACATTACTTATGAAAATTCTCATACGAAAGAAGAAAAATTTCAGAAGTTTAGTACCCTTTTAATTTCCAATAAGGAGACTGGCATGCAAAAAAAAAAAAAAAAAACCGGATGATCATTCGTCCGATATTCTTATGTGTACGGGGCATTACCTCCATGACTGAAAGAAGTACATTTCAATAAATCAAGGGTGGGCCAGAAACAGTCAGGCTACAGAGGAAAAGGCATAACATTGGACATCACCCAGCCAGGAAATTAACTCTTTCTGACTTGCTGCAGCTTCTAATGCACACTGTGAGAAGCTCAGAGTGTGTAGTGAAATCAGGGTAATGTAGGGCTGGAGTTCAGATTTAAGAATGCTTGTTATCCATTTATTTGAACAGAACATATGCACTGTGCTCATGAAACCTTTTCAGTTTGTTGTTCTCTACACAAATAGGATAGCAGTTTGCTCACCAGTGTGTTTTTGCCATTGACTGCAGATGCATAATAGTTATATAATTTATACAGTGTGGATCGAAAGTTTGGGCACCCCAGCTAAAAATGTGTATTAATGTGCATAAAGAAGCCAAGGAAAGATGGAAAAATCTCCAAGGCATCAAATTACAGATTAGACATTCTTATAATATGTCAACAAAAGTTAGATTTTATTTCCATCATTTACACTTTCAAAATAATAGAAAACAAAAACATGGCGTCTGCAAAAGTTTGGGCACCCTGCAGAATTTATAGCATGCACTGCCCCCTTTGCAAAGCTGAGACCTGCCAGTGTCATGGATTGTTCTCAATCATCGTCTGGGAAGACCAGGTGATGTCATTCTCAAAGGTTTTAAATGCCCAGACTCATCTGACCTTGCCCCAACAATCAGCACCATGGCTTCTTCTAAGCAGTTGTCTAGAAAACTGAAACTGAAAATAGTTGACGCTCACAAAGCTGGAGAAGGCTATAAGAAGATAGCAAAGCGTTTTCAGATGTCCATATCCTCTGTTCGGAATGTAATTAAGAAAATGGCAGTCATCAGGAACAGTGGAAGTTAAAGCAAGATCTGGAAGACCAAAAAAAATATCAGACAGAACAGCTCGCAGGATTGTGAGAAAAACAATTCAAAACCCACGTTTGACTGCACGATCCCTCCAGAAAGATCTGGCAGACACTGGAGTTGTGGTACACTATTCCACTATAAAGAGATACTTGTACAAATATGGTCTTCATGGAAGAGTCATCAGAAGAAAACCTCTTCTACGTCCTCACCCCAAAAATCATCGTTTGAACTTTGCAAATGAACATATAGACAAGCCTGTTGCATTTTGGAAACAAGTTCTGTGGACCGATGAGGTTAAAATTGAACTTTTTGGCCGGAATGAGCAAAGGTACGTTTGGAGAAGAAGGGGCACAGAATTGAATGAAAAGAACCTCTGTCCAACTGTTAAGCATGGGGTTGGATCAATCATGCTTTGGGGTTGTGTTGCAGCCAGTGGCACAGGGAACATCTCACGAGTAGAAGGAAAAATGGATTCAATAAAATTTCAGCAAATTTTGGATGGTAACTTGATGCCATCTGTGAAAAAGCTGAAGTTAAAGAGGATGGCTTCTACAAATGGATAATGATCCTAAACACACCTCGAAATCCACGGGGGATTACATCAAGAGGCGTAAACTGAAGGTTTTGCCATGGCCTTCACAATCTCCTGACCTCAACATAATTGAAAATCTATGGATAGACCTTAAAAGAGCAGTGCGTGACAGACAGCCCAGAAATCTCAAAGAACTGGAAGACTTTTGTAAGGAAGAATGGGCAAAGATACCTCAGACAAGAATTGAAAGACTCTTGGCTGGCTACAAAAAGCGTTTACAAGCTGTGATACTTGCCAAAGGGAGCAGTACAAGATATTAACTCTGCAGGGTGCTCAAACTTTTGCAGACGCCATTTTTTTGTTTTCTGTTATTTTGAAAGTGTAAATGATGGAAATAAAATCTAACTTTTGTTGACATATTATAAGAACGTCTAATCTGTAATTTGATGCCTTTTGGAGATTTTTCCATCTTTCCTTGGCTTCTTTATGCACATTAATACAAATTTTTAGCTGGGGTGCCCAAACTTTCGATCCCCACTGTAGCTACTACAAATTTCTTGCTGTATTATTAAGTGGTGTCTTGCTGTACTTGGGAAGGTATAACAGAATATCCTGTGTTATTTCTAACCACCAGCCTTTCTTTCTTTCAGACAATGGAATGGTGTGATGAAGGCATTTATCTACTGGCTTCTCAACCAGTGGATAAGTTCCAGACTCAGGATGGGGCAGAATCAGCACTGCAAGAGATAGAAAGGTTCCTTGAAAGTGGTACTGAAAACATCATAAAGGACTTGCCTATAGTTTTGGCACAGTATGAAGCAATTCTCACAGCAGAGTTACAGGTAGATGGCAAAAAATTATGGATTTTAGCAGATTCTGTTGTTTGCTCCTAAAATTTAGGATCAATAATTGAATTTTGCACCACAGGAGCATGTCAATAAAGTGTTCCAAAAACAGCAAAGTACGCAAGAAATGTTTGAGAAGCGGAAAGGAAGCCTTAGAAAACTAGCCGCTAAACAGACCCGGCCTGTGCAGCCTGTAGCACCTAGACCAGAAGCCTTTGCCAAATCCCCCAATTCCTCTCCAGGTAATAAAACACCAATCTCATTAAACATTTCAGTATACTTATTGATATATCTGGGGTCATTTTTGGTACTGTGGACACACAAATTTCAGCTGTGTCAGTGTGTCCCCAACACCCATCATTTCTAAGACCAGAGAAAAGATGGGAGCTAGAGGGCCTACTGTTAAGGCTGTTCCACGATGATATATGTACACATGGATTCAACAGCCTTCAAGTTCCTATGTATATGGAGTTATAAGTCAAGCACTCCACAATGCCTGCCATCATACCGCTCACCCTCCTCCCCTGCACTAACCACCCTCCGTCTTACCCTCCACACTTCTCTTCTGCACATACTGAGTGCTTTACCTTTTTGTTTTTATATCCTCAACCTTTCCCATTAAGCACCGGCACACTTTTGTAAGATTTAATACACCAAACTTTACTAGTAATATGTCAATACCAGCAATAAGCAATGTAAATATTTTCTTAACAACAGTGTTTTGTATCAACATCTAGTTCTCCAAAGGGCCGCAGAGCTCAGAGGTAGTCCTGAAAATGTTCTTCAAAGAAGGATGAACTACCGGAGAACAAAGGTAAGCAATATTTTATACTTTATACCCCTTTTATATTGAAACATTTTGTGTTGACAGTGTATGAACACACACTGCAAGTAGCTAAATTCACATTTTCAGCATGTCAATGTTTCATTTTATTTGTAGAGTGAGGTGGATGGTCCAGTCAGGAGTTGTTCAGTGATGGAAGATGAAGAAAATCTGGCTGTACTAAGAAGGTACATTATACTGAGTGTTCTAGTATGATGAAAATAATATGGATTGATGGCAATTACTCATCGAGGCCAGGGGCGGACTGACAACTCATGGGGCCCCTGGGAAATAGGGGGCCCCTGTGTCCTTGCCCACACTCAAAGCACACCCAAAAAAGCCTATAAATAAGGTACCAGGAGCATTTCATGGGGCCCCCTATTGACCCCAGGCCCTCGGGCAGTGCCCGAGTGCTCGAATGGTCAGTCCGCCCCTGATCGAGGCTACAGCTTTTTTGAGTTTTCATTGGATTGTTAGAGCTCTGGCATAGCCATATTATTCTGATAGTAACTGTTGTGATAATGCATTCAAGCATTTGAGAATATTGATTTCTACATATTAGTTTCTCCATCTGCAACTAAAAAATAAGCCTCATGTTAAAAGCTGCTGCTTATGTGTATCATTTATTTGTTCCCTGATTATTTCTACACCACATAGAGAATAGAACTTTAGTCCAATTACAAATGTATATTTTATATTATATTGCAAAGGAAGAAGGGGGAAAACACAAACAACCTGTCAGATTTTTCTACATGCAATCAATGTCAGTAGCTATAGCTACTAGCAGTAATAATTGTGTTCCACCGGCTGGGAAGGTTCCCTGTGTCCCCCTCCAGCAGAACACTGCAGTAGGCATTCCCTCATCAACAATGACTGTTAATGGGGAAATTGAGCGATTCTTTCCTTCTGCATGTAGTGGAAGTAAAGAAAGTAGAATCATCTATAGGTTGCCTTTGGTAAGCACAGACACTTGACAGTGTTAATGAATGATGCACGCAATTGGGCATTTACTGAGACAGAATGGAGAAAAACGCTACAAAAGTCTTTGTAATGTGATATATTTATTCTTCTGAGTCACAAACCACTCTCACCCTATAAAGATAGAAGGGGGACATCACTATTGAAATTCTGCAAATCTGTAGCTTCTTATCTCACCCGCAGCTTGCTAATTGGTCTATAAATGAGCATCGCCACACTGGTGAACACGTACCTGTGCTCTACCTCCTCTTCAACAATCAGCACCTGACAAATGCTAGGATAGGGGCATTGCACTGGCACGCCCAGTCTCAGCCATGTTGGAGATTAGAGGAAGTAAATATTAGAAAGCGCATTGAGGTGAATATGTATGAATCCATATTTTTGCCGGATATTTTGTATAAATGCTTGGTGTTCCACTTTAATGATGAAAGTGTAAGGGTAGAATTCTCATATTTTACACATAGATTGAAAGCTTTTTTCCTGGAAGGCATGTATCATAATGATGCTTTGTGATCATCCTTGGTCTAGATGCTGATCTGCGTATTTTGTTTCCAGGCATGTCATGAATGAACTAATTGAGACAGAAAGAGTATACGTTGAAGAACTTCTGTCTGTTCTTGAGGTACAGAGTTTGCTTTTTAACATTAATAAAGCTAAACTTGTTAATCCAACAATATCACAGTTTTAGAAATAATGTAGAAGTATGTTCAAAAAAAGCAAATTTGATGTAGGCTGCCAATATCTATAAATCTACCCTTTTTAAATTTCCTGATAACATGCTGCAAACACTTGTTGATTATATTGGGAGATCTGCTGAATAGCCACTTCCTTGGAGAGTGTAACAACATTTTGTCTTTCCTATTGAAATTTACATTAGTATTGTCAACTCCGCAGCCGTTGCAGCAGTATATGAGGATGCAAGAGTTGTGTGGCTAACAGATTTGTCACTGCTGTTTTTGTGCCGTCATACTGTCTTTGGACAGCCACACCTAGCTTCAACCTCAAATACGTTCTAATAGAAGCTTGGCAAACGGGATATGAAGATTTTGCAGAAGATTGCATGTCTTAGGGAAATGACGTGCAAGCCCTGCTGGATCCCTCCCATCTTCTGTGACATCTTGCTGCATGCACATACAGGCTGCCTTTAAAGCAAATATTACATTTTTTTTTTTTGTTCATAAATCTCTTTATTAACAAAGAAAATACCAATAACAAACAGAACATTAGCAATGTAGTGTGAACCGCTTCCCAACCACCCTATAGCAGAAATCTCCGGGTAGGGGGGTGCAGCATGCGAGGTGCGCGCATGCCCTATCCACACCGCCATTCGCGGCTGCAGCTGTCAATCACCGGGTCCCGACCGGTGATTACTCGCCTGTGTCTGGTGATTGCCGAGTATCTCCGATGGGGAGGTGAACTGTTTGTAAACAAAACAGTTCTCCTCCCTGCCATCTCGTGCACACTGCTTAGGATGGCTGTGCACAGCCATGCAAAGCAGTGTACTTACAGTGAAGCACAAACACACAACACATAGTAAAACAGCGCACAGTTAACCCTTTGATCATCCCTCATGTTAACCCCTTCCTGCACATTGCCATTAGTACAGTGTCAGTGCTTTTTTTTTTTTTTTTTTTTTAGCACTGATCACTGTATTGGTGTCAGTGACACCAAGTCAGTTCTCCCCAGTGTCAAAATGCCTGCCGCGGTCCGGCTATAAGTCGCTGATCGCCACCATTACTAGTAAAAATAAAAATCCCAGTATATATACCGCCATTTGTAAATGCTATAACTTTCATGTAAACCAGTTAATTTACACATATTGGGATTTTTTTAAAGCAAAGACATGTCACAGAATACATTTTGGCTTAAATTTTATGCTGAAATTTAGATTTTTGTAAAAAGTAGTTTTACTGGATATCTTTAATAGCAAAAAGTCAAAAATATTGTTTGGTTTTTTTTTATAGCACAAAAAATAAAAAACACACAGGCGATCAAATACCACCGAAAGAAAGCTCCATTCATGGCAAAAAAAGGACATAAATTTCATTTGGTTGCAGTGTTGCATGACCGCACAATTGTCAGTCAAAGTAACGCAGTGACGTAACGCAAAAAAATGGCCTGGTCAGGAAGGGCGGTGAATCTTCTGGAGGGCAAGTGGTTAAAGTCCAGCAAATAAAGTGCATACCAAAACATCATATAAATCATGCAACAGGGGGTTGCAAACCATTCGCTATAAACAAGAGGTAGACATAGCAACCACAAATACCAAAGAAACCCAATCATTGTCCACATTAGTAAGTACATTAAAGAGGGGGGACCTGGCAAATAGACGCTACTACAAGACTACATTTTTTATGTAAATTACTTTAAAACCGGAAAGATCCATTGCTGTTACATTCTACTATCCTTTTATCTGACTCCTACACGTTTGGGAATCATGGTCTTCTCTTATTTGCTGTGAAGGTTTACTTTGTCCATTTTAGACCATCACATAAAATAACTATGTATCACAGGGATCATTTGTGGTTTTTTTTTTTTCTTAAGGGTTATGCTGCTGAAATGGAGAGTCCCTTAGTAATGCACCTGCTTTCTCCAATGCTTCACAATAAGAAGGATGTCTTGTTTGGCAATATGGAAGAGATCTACCACTTTCATAACAGGTCAGCCTTTTACTACACTTTCTTGACATTACCCTGACCTTGTATTGTGATACACCTTATCTGGAATATGCAGTTCAGTTTTGGGCACCAATTCACAAAAAGAACATTGGGGAACTGGAGAAAGTACAGAGAAGGGCAACCAAACTGATAAGAGGCATGGAGGAGCTCAGCTATGAGGAAAGATTAGAGGAACTGAATGTATTCTCTCTTGAGAAGAGGAGATTAAGGGGGGATATGATCAACATGTATAAATACATCAGTGGTTCATATAGTGAACTCGGTGTAGAGCTATTCACCCTGAGGTCATCACAGGGGACAAGGGGGCACTCTTTACGTCTGGAGGAAAAGCAATTTAATCTCCAAACATGGAAAGGTTTCTTCACAGTGAGAGCTGTGAAAATTTGGAATAGACTCCCTCAAGAATTGGTTCTGGCCAGCTCAGTGGATTGCTTTAAAAAAGGCCTGGATTATTTCTTAGATACACAGAATATAACTGGATACTAACATTTATAGGTAAAGTTGATCCAGAGAATGTCTGATTGCCTCTCAGGGGATCAGGAAGGATTTTTTTTTCCCTGTAGGAACAATTTGGATCATGCTTTGCTGGGGGGTTTTTTTGCCTTCCTCTGGATCAACTGTGGGCATAGGATTATAACTTTTGTTTTTTTTAATGGTTGAACTGGATGGACTTTTGTCTTTTTTTCAGCCAGGCTAACTATGTAACTATAGCTAGTGCATTGTAAGTAACAAACAGAAATCCGTCACAAGCGTGTTTTACACACTCTACATCTTGTTGAAGAAAAAGTATAGGGTTGATTTACTAAAACTAGAAAGTGCAGTTTTGCATAGAAACCAATCAGCTTCCAGTGTTTTTTTTTTTTTTTTTTTTTCTTTATGTCAAAGCTTAATTGAACAAGCTGAAGTAAGAATCTAATTGGCTATCATGCACAGCTGCACCAGGGTTATAGTGTCTTCAGAGGTTTAATAAATAAAATACGTCAGCTCTCGTTAATAATCTTATGTGGTAGATGTGGTAATGTTTGAAAAACTGTTTTTATATGTATGTTTTTTATGAAGGAGCCGCTTGTATGTTCTCCACGGGCTCCCCTTGCTTCGAGTTGCAGCCAGGCAGAGTGTATTTCTGCAGCCAAATACACTCACACATTTTATGCTTGTTGTCTTCAATGACCAGTCTAGGGGATGCTTTATTTTTGGAGTTTATTGAAGAACTAGGGATAGAGATGGGCAATTGTGGTAGGATACTCCAAAATCAGAACTATTCATACTGAGGACATCTAGCTGATCTTAGTTGAACACTTTTGAAGTCTTAGCTGAAGCAGATAGCAGACTTCCCTTTTACTTTGTATCAACAAGTAGTTTAGGAGTGCTCAAAGTCTTTTTTTGAAGTAGTAGCAGTTATAGGACTGAGCTCTCCAGTGATACCAAACAGATCTTTGGCAGACAGCGCTCCTCACTGAAGAACCAGGGTCTCTCTAACTTCAGGCCCTCAGGTCAACCCACCTGAGATCACATGGCAGCAAGTGCCAGTGCCTGCCTCCAGCCTGGCTTGGTGCAATCCACCCCTGGGAAAGACACTGAACCTATGTGCTCTCAGAATATAAATGCCATTCCCAGCATTCAGTGGGGCCACCCTCCCCTGCAGTTGGCCTGGGCTGTATCCATATTCATGCTGTGCATTTGCTTAGCCCCTACCCATGTTCTGGAAGGCTCTTAGCTTCCTGAAGGCAGGTAGAACCCGGACAATCTCCAACAGCACCAGAGCAGCATGAGTAGACCTAACTGACCAATCACAGCACTCTGTTACGCAGAATACCACACTGGATTTACCCAACTATACACATCCTAGCACCAGACTAGGAGGGTGCTACATGTATAATTTAGGATTTATGTGCTGAATGTACAAAGGAGGAGCCATATTTGCTGGTTACATATGCTTCCTGCTTTGTGGTTTGTTGAGCCTCCTCAAAATGTAAATCACTGAACTGGCCACCTCATTTTAAAACAATACACTCCCTATGTGGCGGATATTTCAACAGTTTACAGACAAAATAGATGCACTGAGCCACTGTGAGCTCCTGAAGGTTGCTAGAGTACAAATCTCTATATTTATCACAATACCATAAGTAAGGAAGTGGAAGCATATAAGAATGTGAAATGCTACCAATAGGAATTATTTTAAACATAAATATGAACCCAGAATTTGAGTAATTTTTGGCATTGCAAATTAGGGTTGCCACCTCATCCCATTTAAGCTGACCACACATTATTACACAGGTCCAGTGGCTTCTGTGGTTAATTAAACTCACTTAGTGCCTTATCTGCATTAAATTAGCCTCAGAACCTGTGTAATTAATGTGTTTGGTTTTAAAGTGATGAGGCGGCAACCCTACTGCAAATACATGTGAATTATGTATGTTTTCCACTTTGTTTCAAAAAATATTGCATTTTACCATTTCTGATTTTCATTTGTCTAGAAATGTATTACATTTTTTCCCTAAATAAATACCAGATTTTAACCATGATTATTTTGAGCATTATCTATTTCTTAGCAAAAGAGGGATGTATGAACCGTTTGTTAATCCAGTATTGACTTTGCTTTTTCTGGTTAGGATATTTTTGAGAGAACTGGAAAATTACACTGACTATCCGGAGCTAGTAGGAAGATGTTTTCTGGAAAGGGTAAGCAGATAGACTTGCAACTTTAATATAGGCACTTGCAAATCACGATTTAATCACAAATTAATAGGGAATAAATCTACATTGAGGACAAAGTGAAAAATTTAATTTACTGCAGGAAAAATTAAAGAAATGAGGTTGTGTGTTTTAAAATGACTGTAATGAAAGCTGTATGGGGCCTGCCATTATTAGCCTCATTCAAAAAATAATAGATGACTAGCTGTGTCTAACGTCAGTACTTTTCAGTCGCATACCCAGATGTAGTATGCTGTAAATGACGAAAACTGCCAGAACAGGTTACAAACTCGGACAGCACTGATACCAAAGCTTTAGCAAGGCAGCCAATGAAGAAAAAGCATTCTCAAAAACAAAGGTTAGCAATGGCAGCCTCCATTATTCTCTCATAAGTGTTTCCATTTAGTATACCCATAAATGGAGGTGTCGGGGAAATAACAATTGGATGGGCTAATATACGGTTTTCTATATGTTCCTGCTTTTCCCAAGATGAGCCAGCTCTGGAGGTGTAGAAAAACCCCAAAAATACTATGAAGACTTTACTGGTATAGTATAGGACAGACTTACCTTCATAAAAATACAAATTCTATTAGGCAAGCCATAAAAGTGTATTTTAAAACCACTACATGGCTAAACAGCCCTAATATAGCAATGTCAACTCGTTTAACTTTTGCAGCATCTTTAGGACATGGAACATGGAGACAGAGAAAATATATATATATATATATATATATATATATATATATATATATATATATATATATATAGTGAAGGAAATAAGTATTTGATCCCTTGCTGATTTTGAATGTTTGCCCACTCACAAAGAAATGATCAGTCTAAAATTTGAATGGTAGGTGTATTGTAACACTGAGAGACAGAATAGCAACAAAAAATTCAAAAGAAATGCATGTCTAACAAATGATGCACTGATTTGCATGTTCATGAGGGAAATAAGTATTTGATCCCCTTCACAAAACATGACTTAGTACTTGGTGGCAAATCCCTTGTTGGCAATCAGAGGTCAGACGTTTCCTGTAGTTGGCCACCAGGTTTGCACACATCTCAGGAGGGATTTTGGCCCGCTCCTCTTGGCAGATCCTCTCCAAGTCTTTAAGGTTTGGTGGATGATGTTTGGCAACTCAAACTTTCAGCTCCCTCCACAGATTTTCAATCTGATTAAGGTCTGGAGACTGGCTAGGCCAGCAATGGGCAAACTACGGCCCGCGGGCCGTATACGGCCCGGTGGACCTTTTAATCCGGCCCGCGGAGCTAGGCTCCCTCTAGGCTCCTCTCGCAGTCCGCCCTGAAGACCGGTGTAGCATGAAAATCTGTCTCCTATGAGGATCTTTCCCCCTCGACGTATCTGCGCATGTGCCGGAGATTGCCAATCGGCTGCTAATGCCTGAAACTGGCACATGCGCAGATACGTCGAGGGGGACAGATCCTCATAGGAGACAGATTTTCATGCTACACCGGAACGGCGCTAGAACACGGCGAGAGGAACGCGTGGAGCAAAGGTAAGTGAATTGACACAGGGGGGACTTGGGGACTTAATATGGGGGATGAATTACTATAGGGGGGATGAATTACTATAGGGGGGGGGATGAATTACTATATGGGGGATGAATTACTATGGGGGTTGAATGACTATATGGGGGATGAATGACTATATGGGGATGAATTACTATATGGGGGATGAATTACTATGCTTACTATGGGGGAATATTACTATACTTACTATGGATGACACATACACATCATTCATCTACTCTTGGTCCGGCCCCCGGGTCCAATATATGAACCCATTGCGGCCCTCAAGTCAAAAAGTTTGCCCACCCCTGGGCTAGGCCATTCCAGGACCTTAATGTGCTTCTTCTTGAGCCACTCCTTTGTTGCCTTGGCCGTGTGTTTTGGGTCATTGTCATGCTGGGACACCCATCCACGACCCGTTTTCAATGCCCTGGCTGAGGGAAGAAGGTTCTCACCCAAGATTTGATGGTACATTGCCCTGTCCCATCGTCCCTTTTTCTGCTAAGGGGACAGGACAACTGCACCGCATTAAACACCCCCAAAGCAGAATGTTTCCACCACCATGTTTGACAGTTGGGATGGTGTTCTTGGGGTCATAGGCAGAATTCCTCCTCCTCCAAAGACAGCAAGTTGAGTTGATGCCAAAGAGCTTGATATATATATGTGTATGTCTGTGTGTATGTATGTGTGTGAGAGAGAGAAAATGAATATATCTTTGAGGCACTATAGTGGCTATAATTATTTGATGTGAATGCCCTGTTTCTGTCACAGCAGCAGAGCATGGAGTCTATGGTTTTTATGTAAAATCAGTCTAAATTAGCACCATTGATAACATGGTGTAAATACTACATAACATTACAGGTAAAATACCATATGCTTCAGTTTTACTTGAACACAGAGAGGCATCATTTAAAGAACATTTCTAGTGTGATGAAAACCAACAGGTGACATTATACAGAGGTTACACAGTGAATAGAAGTATGGAATTGTGTAAACTACTAAAATATTTAATTTTACCAATAATACACTGTTTTCCCCAATGCAGATGGAAGATTTCCAGATATATGAGAAGTACTGCCAGAACAAGCCCAGGTCAGAGAGTCTGTGGCGCCAGTGCTCAGATGCAGCTTTTTTCCAGGTTACCATTAAGTACATTAGCCTTTTAAATCATATTTAAACTGATGGCAAAACCTAACATTAATTTTTGTGGTTGCAGGAATGTCAGAGGAAGCTTGATCATAAGCTTAGTCTGGACTCTTATTTACTAAAGCCTGTACAGAGGATAACGAAGTACCAGCTTTTACTGAAGGTAGATATTACTGATGAAAACACCTAAGTGTTATGTATTATGCGTGGGGGGCAGGGACAGACTGACCATTCCAGCACTTGGGCACGGCCCGGGGTCAGTAGGGGGCCCCATGAGATGCCCCTGATACCTTTTCATAGGCTTTTTTGGGTGTGGTTTGAATGTTGGCGAGGACACAAGGGCCCCATGATTTCCTATTGCCCGGGGGCGCCATGAGTTGTCAGTCCACCCCTGGTGGGGAGCGACCTGCAGTAACAATTTGTCTGTCATATTTGTAAGAAACAATATGTAACAATTTATTACTTTTTTAGTTTAAAAGTGATACTAAATCCAGGACCCTGCAGTCACTATATCTGGTCTCCCATGGTACACAGAACATGGAAATTTAATAAATATAAACTACTAAATACCTTTTCTCATCAGCAGTATACAGCAGTCTTGTGAGCTCTATCAGTGTCCACCTGAGCACTGGTTAATCTTTTAAGAGGAGTTTTCATTCTCCTCTGACTGTCCTATAAGGCTGACCCCTGACCCTCTGTCTGGACAGTGCTGATTGGCCCTGTGCTGATCACATGCACCTTCCCAAAGAAAACAAAACACTCTAGCCATACATGCTAAACTGTGCATGTGCAGAGTGACTCCTAGAGCTCTGTACGATCAGCAGATGGATTAGGGACAGTGAAAGGGGAGGATCAGAGAAGACAGGATCAAACAGCCTTTTTAAACAATGTCTAGGATTAACCCCTTAGGTTCCACAGTGAGTATAACAAGCATGCTTTACTGCATATACAGACTGATTTTACTGTTGTGGGTTAATAACACTTTAAAGTGGAACTCTACTGCATCTGAGTACCACAAGCCAAAAATGCAATAGAATTAATTTCTAATATTTAAAACAAACTTTTCCATCCATCCATGTCTCTGTGCTTTATTTTGCTGAGAAATCATTTTGAAAAATATCTCCTGGCATTTCTGGCAGTGGCCATCTTGAGTAAGGGCAGTTAATTTATGTAGCAGCTACTTCCTGGAATCCATCTGTCCTCAGCTCAGACATTGGCTGAGCTGAGAACCCTCCCCTCCTGAAGACTCCTGGGATGTATGACATAATTTGCCTAGCCATGGAAACCAGGCAGTGAATGAAGGAATGCCAAAAAAAAAAAAGTTAAAACAAGCATATATGATATACTTTCCTATCTATTTAATAATACTAGCAGCTTAAGTATTAGAAATAGTTCATGTTGATTGAGAGAGTGAAGTTCTACTTTAAGTATTAAATTGTAACATGTTTCTGAAATGAAAGGTTAACAACCATTTTTAAAGTGTATTTCAAAAACAGATTGCATGCTCATTCTTCTAAGCAAAAAGTCCAGCACAAGAGGTTTGTTAGAAAATATTCTGTCTTATACCGTCTTGCAAATTGGGTGACTTGTTTACAAGGACAGGAATGAAGGTGCAGAAGTGCACCAAGCACTATATTACAGCAAAAATGCCAACCTGATGAGATGAGAGATTTGCACTAAAATAATTTTCTATGATGTGATATACATTCTCAATATAAACCTTTTTTTCTTATTCAGGAGATGCTGAAGTACAGTAAGAACTGTGAAGGGGCTGAAGATCTGCAGGAAGCTTTGGCTTCTATTCTTGGTATACTCAAGGCTGTCAATGACTCAATGCACCAGATAGCCATCACTGGTTATGAGGCAAGTGATTACTTATTACTCATTTGGTACATAAACTTTATAACGTTAAAGGATAAGTTCACCTTTTGAAAAAAAATTAATTGAATGCACATCTTTTTGCAGATAAAATGTGCATTTTTTTTTTAATTTTTTTTTTTTTATTGGGAGCCTGTGAAGCATTGCACTAGTGATCAGCAGATCATGGATACAATGCAGGGCTGTTGCGTAATCTGTCTGCTCATATCTTGTACAGGCAGGCATTTACACACTGACTGGAAGCATCCGTAAACTACCTAGAGCGCTCAGCAGCGCTCTAGAAGTTTATTAATAACTACAAGCTGTCAGCCGCAAAAGCCAACAGTAGTTTCCTATTCACAGAACTCTGCGAATAAATGAAGCATCTGGTTAGTCTGAGCCCCACAAGGAGTCCTTTTTTTTTTTTTTTTTTTTTTTTTTTTTTTTTTTCTAAATTGTGACAGCAGGTGTGGGGTGAAAATCCCTTCTTGATGTCACAATGTCACAGCTGTGCAGTAGAATAACATTCTTACAGGATGTCTTCAAGCTGACCTCAATGCACTGTGTAATTGGGCAACTATGGGGGAAATGAGGTTTAATGTTGATAAATGTAAGGTTATGCACTTGGGGGCTAAGAATATGCATCATACATACTAGGGGGGTACAACTGGGGGAAGCAATGGTGGAGAAGGATCTGGGAGTTCTGGTAGATCACAAGCTTAATAATGGCATGCAATGCCAAGCTGTGGTTTCTAAAGTGAACAAAATCCTCTCTTCCAGAGAGAGAGATCTCATTTTACCCCTGTACAAATCATTAGTAATACCTCATCTGGAATATGCAGTTCCATTTTGGGCACCAATTCACAAAAAGAACACTGGGGAACTGGCGAAAGTACAGAGAAGGGCAACCAAACTGATAAGAGGCATATAGGAGCTCAACTATGAGGAGAGATTAGAGGAACTGAATTTATTCTCTCTTGAGAAGAGGAGATTAAGGGGAGACATGATCAACATGTATAAATACATCAGTGGTTCATATAGTGAACTCTGTGTAGAGTTATTCACCCTGAGGTCATCACAGAGGACAAGGTGCACTCTTTACGTCTGGAGGAAAAGAAATTTAATCTCCAGATACAGAAAGGTTTCTTCACAGTAAGAGCTGTGAAAATGTGGAATAGACTCCCTCAAGAGCTGGTTCTGGCCAGCTCAGTGGATTTCTTCAAAAAAGGTCTGGATTCTTTATTAGATACACAGAATATAACTGGATACTAACATTTATAGGTAAAGTTGATCCAGGGAATATCCGATTGCCTTTCGGGGATCAGGAAGGAAGTTTTTTTCAAGCAGGAGCAAATTGGACCATGCTTTGCTGGGTTTTTCTGCCTTCCTCTGGATCAACTGTGAGCATAGGATTACAACAATTTTTTTTTTAAATGGCTGAACTGAATGGACTTTTGTCTTTTTTTTTCAGCCAGACTATGTAACTATGTAGCTTGGACTTGGGGGGGGGGGGGGGGGGGGGGTGTCGGCTTCAGCAGTAACCCTGAATACAGATGTAGCATGTTATAAAAGGTGAACGTAGCCTTTAACGTTTCACTGCAGCCTTCTGTAATTTAGGCATAGGTAAAGTGAAGCAATTCCCACCTGGTAACCTATATACATTGTGAGGATTTCAGCAAACTTTATTGCAGATTTCTGCCTGATCATCATCATATCATTTCTGTGAGTGAGAATGGGATGGTCTGCCTTCATTACCACCTGATCAGTATACGTGTTGTAGTAAGAGCACTGGCCATGGACGTAAAGCTGGCAATTCACCATTTTCATCAAATCGGTATTGCAAATATAATCATCAGACGCTAAGCAATTTACCATGCACAAGTATGATATACCACCAGAATTCAGTCAGGATTAACAGGACAGTAAATTGGGAGCTTTAATACAGTTTATTAAAAGACTAATCCAAAACTGGAAAAAAGTCTTCAAAAGTGACCAGAATTTTTTTGCTAAATTAGATTAGGGAAATCTAAACTAACATTTTTGTTTCTTTGCAGTTTCAAAAGAAAAAAAAATGGAATTATAAGTTTGATTACTCCACCAAATTGCAACTTATATGGCCAACTTTAGGCTAGGTGTACACAGCTAATTAAATCTCTGTGCTATGGAGAGTTTTAACTACTTGTTGGAAGTCTCTACATGTGCAGAATACTGAGGTTTATCTGAATCCAATGAGATAGCTGTCAAGAATCAGATTAAACTCTCAGCTGCAAGGAGATTTGATGGCCAACTCAACCTTTAAGACTGTTACATCATCATTTAGGATGTACCATGGCACCAAACAGCTGTCAGATTTTAAATTGGAACAGCTGTGCATGGCTCTGCCCAGACAGCCTTGCCATTTGTTAAGAGTCCTGTCTGCCACCATAGAAGACGGACTTGTAGTTCTCAATGGAACACAGATGCATTGATCACCCCATTCAGAGTCCATTGACACTTCTGCCAGGTCTCTAAAACAACATATATATGATTCAATTTTCTTTCCTGCAACCACAGGTTGCAGAAAAGAAAATCATTCAATTCCCTCATCAACAAAATCCGTGTTGAGGGGAATTCCTCCTACAGTGCTATTGTGTTCTGCTGGTGGGGAGCTTTCTCTACTGGCAGAACACAATGATTAATGTTGTCGACTATGGCAGTGCAGTAATTGCATGCACAATATCTGACAGGCTGGTTGTACCGAAGTTGATCGATGCATCGATTTCAGTACAACCAGCCTACCCATAGATGGATTGAATCTCAGCCAGTCCCTGCTGAACCAGCCAAGATTTGATCCATCTATGGTCAGCTTAACTGAAAGCCTATACCTAAGTAGGGACATAGAGCTGGTGGAATAGGCTGCATGAGCCTGGGATTGTACCGGAGATCAGTTGCAATGCTTTGCAGGTTCGGAATAATAATAAATGCACATTCTTTTTCTGCAAATATATTTGTGTTTATTATTTTTCTGTAAAAGAAAATTGATTTATTTGTATAACAATCCAACATGTCAGCACAACAGTGCACCAATCGGCAACACTTTCAAGGGAGAGCAAGCCTTTCTGATTGGTGCATGGTAGTGCTGTCATGTTGGATTAATTTATGGACACAGCTGCTCCTGCACGGAGAGCAGCAATACTTCTGCAGCTAATCCTTAGGATTTGGGGTTGATGCTGGGGAGAAAGAGAAAAGCTCAGTAGTGAATGATACTTGGCAATTTAAGGTTTTTGGAAAAATGTTAAGTTGTGTTTGATTTACATGTTTTTGTCATCTGTCATAGAAAATAGTCACATGTGGGGCAGGATTGAGTCTCTTCTTTCAATCTTCATTTTAGTCAATTTTGTTAATTTACAATCGTATTAATTTAAAAGGTTACACATGTATGCTTTCCTTGGTAAATAATCATCAATACTCAATGTTTATTCCAGGGTAACTTGAATGATCTTGGGAAACTATTGATGCAAGGTTCTTTCAATGTGTGGACTGAGCATAAAAAAGGTCATTCCAAGGTAAAGGACCTAGCAAGGTTTAAACCAATGCAGAGACACTTGTTTCTCCATGAGAAGGCCGTGCTGTTCTGCAAGAAGAGGGAAGAGAATGGGGAGGGCTATGAGAAGGCCCCCTCTTACAGCTTCAAACATTCCTTAAATGTAAGTATGTTTTCACCACACCATTATGACCCTGTAAAGCTACAACACTTCAGATGAGCATGTTAATAGTGGTGATTAAAAAGAGTACCAGGCTATCTTAGTATAGAACTGTTTTAAAATATAAGTATTAATAAATGCTTGTATGTCATTGGCAAATATTTAATTAAGTAGCCTGAAAAATTGTTCTTCTAAGGGGTGCACCCAGATTTTTAGAGTAGCAATATTCTTATTCTTTTCAAAGTGCTAACATAATAGTGACATAGTGATCTAAATAAAGATGTGACTTACAGACCCAGGAGAGAAGACACAGGAGAAAAATGTACAGAAACATTACACACCACAGGCAAGGAAATGGCTGTGGCTTAGGGGAAGCAGATTAGTTAACAGGTGAAGAGCAGTTGGTGTATAGAGTAGGATGATGATCTAATAGGGCCAACAATAGAATTCTAGAGCAGTGTTTCTCAATCTTTTTTCACTCAAGGCACCCTTTAAAATTATGAACAATCTCAAGGCACCCTTTAACATTCTGCACAATCTCAAGGCACCCCATTCTAAAATGTAAAAAAACTATTCTAATAGTTTTACATAATGCAGCAACATCCATATGCATAGGACACCCAAAGAGGTGATTTATTCTTCCAAAGCAAATTTTCCTTGGCAAACTGGTACTGACTAGTATACCAGTGTTTTTCTCCTTTAGTTTCTCTCCCTCACTCAGCTAATGTGACCCCACGTGACCATGTGACCATGATGTCCTCCTTATCAACTAATGATGTACTTGGTTGTTAGGATACCGGCAGGTTGTAAAAGTGCGCAATGAAAACCTATGGCTTTGTGTAACTAAAAGGTAGGCTTGATCCACCTGCTGTCTTGTATACAATTAATGGGCAGTTTTTAAGCATATTACCAAGGCACTCCTAAAAAGGCCTGGAGGCACCCCAGGGTGCCGGGGCACCCTGGTTGAGAGAGGCTGTTCTAGAACATGGCGGATGCTCTAGAGAAATCTTAGTCATGCATGAGATTACAAGCAATAAATACATTAAAGGGTTGATTTACTAAAGGAAATAGACTGTGCACTGTGCTAGGGCTTTGGCTCCAGAGCTTAGTAAATGAGGAAAAGCTCTGCTGACTTCCATCATCCAATCCTGTGTCGGCAAAAATGCTGTATTATTTTCCTTACATGTGACTGGATATTTGCAAAGTGAAGCTGCACCTCATTTACTAAGCTCTGGAGCAAATGCTCTTGCAGAGTGCAACTGCACTTGCAAAGCGCAGTCTATTTGCCTTTAGTAAATCAACCCCCTAAGTAGGTCAGAGGGGAACATAAGGAACAGTGTGGAAAATATTTCTCTAGGAGATCAGTAATACAGGTAGTGAATGTTTAAAGGCAATTAAAGTAAATTGAAAATTTGTTACCAGGTTGACTGCAAGCGAGCATCCACAACTTTTTAATTGGACAGAACTTGGTCTGGTCATGGGCGATTGAAAAAGTGCTAACGCTTAGACTGTAGCCTATCAGTGTAGCTTTAGTTCTTTATTGTAGTCTGGATTTAGCTATGAACTTTAAAGGATGAATATGTTTAAACACACTGAATTGCAAAAGATTCTTAACAAAAATCTTGTTCACGTTTGCCAAAAAGACATTGTTTAAATGGCAAACAAGTCAAATAAATACTAAATTGAGGTTTATTGTTCTTTATAATGCCAAAGATCTTCTTTAATAATTTTTTTGGAAACCATAACAAATCTCTGCATCTATCTGTCTAGTTACTAAAACATTTTTTTTCTTGTTTGCTAGATGGCAAATGTTGGAATAACTGAGTATGTAAAAGGGGACAGCAAAAAATTTGAAATCTCTTACAATTTAAGAGAAGAAGTTTACATTGTTCAGGTAAGGTTATTTTGCTTTCTGCTGCTAATGCCTCATTATGAACATTAAAGATGAACTGCACTCAGTGATCATGATCCAGAAGTATGACGTTCCATACAATAAATTTGTAGTTCTTTGTCTCTATATCAGACCCATAAAATTCACTGGGGAATCTTTGGTATCTATGCAAATGTAAATATACAACAACCAGGAGAGAGAGGCTAATGTAAAGTGATTGGAATATGGAGTACTGATTCAATTTCTACCATATAGGTAGCTTAAGCACAGTGGCTAAATGGTTAGCACTTCCGCCTGGCAGTAGTAGCGTCGGTGGTTCAAATCCCAGCCATAGCACCCCCTGCCTGGAGTTTGCATGTTCTCCCTGTGCCTGCATGGGTTTCCTCCGGGTACTCCGGGTTCCTTCCCCACTCCAAAGACATGCTGGTAGGTATTGGCTCCTGTCTAAATTGGCCCTAGAATATGTATGTATGAATGTGAATTAGAGACCTTAGATTGTACGCCCCTTGAGGGTTAGGGACTGATGTGAATGTACAATATGTTTGTAAAGCACTGCATAAATGAATGGCTCTATAGAAGTACCTGAAATAAATAAGTAAAAAGTACTTTTTAAGTATTGAATTTGATGCTGGTGAAAAAACGTGATGATTTGTTCAACCTGTTGTGTTAAGGAAGATAATGTAGACTATATGAGCTGCTTCAGCACTAAATATTGATTTAGTAGATTCCTAAAATCATTGTGCTTTTAACTGCTTTACATCTGCAATCTGTAAATGAGTGTTCTCAGGCACAGCTCCCCACACTGTTGGGAAATGACACTATAGTACAGCTGTGAATAAGTGGTGTGCACCTGTGCATGCTCCTAGTCCTGATACTAAGCTGTCAATGACAGGCACAGTTCTCAGGCTAAAGATATGGAATCAATCAGCATGCTTCTCAAACATGTGGACCACCATGACAGCCAATCATGGTGATCGCTAGCATATTGTTTACAAACATATGCCTGCAAATTGCACTGGTTAAAGAGATACACAGTTATACTGTTTAGAATTACTGTGTAGAAAAAATATGTTGTTTTATAAACTGTTGTGTATAAAATAATCACCTGGATAGGAAAGAACAGACAGCAATAAAAACAATTTTTGAAAGTTTGAATCCTTACCCATGCAAATTAAAACTATATTTTTATTTATGTCTTTGTCACGGTTGGAGAACTTTCTCATCACTTTCTGTCCTAACAGGTGATGATGGAATTCTTTATAGAGAGATGGCAATAACAATTTGACAAAGACTGTAGCCCTCTTAATTTTTGAGAATTAAAATTGAGGCGCCACACCACTAAGAGGTCCAGATGCAAATTAATTCTATTGAAGGTCAGGGGTACATTTTGGACTGTACCCCTGACTTTTAATGGAACATTGTTGTATCTGGACCTCTTAGCAGTCATGTGGCACTTCAGTTTCAATTATCGTTACATTACACTACAAGCCAAAGAGACTCTGGGGTGCCTGCCCAGAAACCCGATCATTTACACCAACATAAATACTTTAAGTTAACAATTCCAGTAAGATAACCCAGTGGGTCCAGAGCTATCTTTCCACTTTCCTCAACTTGCTTTAAGTTTGAGACCATATTGCATTTAGTATGGAAGTATGCAATAAGTGCTAATGTTATTGGGCAGGAGTTTGTGTACCAAGGATTGTTATATAAACTTTATGTATACAGTATATTTAGTCTAGGTTTAATAAGTTACCATATGCCATGTGCAAGACTTTAGAGAACGCTCTTTGGAAGGTGCATTTAAGTGAGTCTGTCTTCTAATTCTACCATATGTCAATATCTCCGACAGGCTCAAACACCTGAAATTAAAGCTACCTGGGTAAATGAAATTAGAAAGGTGTTGACCAGCCAGCTACAAGCATGCATAGGTAAATTCCTCCTTTTTTTTCTGCTTGCCTTTTCCAACTTGTTTGCTTCATATAGCTCAGATATATTTTATTAAGATCTCCAATCTAATGTTAATTGCATTTACTTTAGTCTAGCTTTTATTACATAAAGCATATTTTACTTGGTTGATATAAAGGTGTGTTTGGTGTGTTTTCAGAAGCCAGCCAGCACAAATCAGTTGAGCAGACCAAGAGTTCTCCACTACCCAAACTCAGTCTAGCACCAGGTGAGCAAGGAACACATCATCAACAATGTCCATACTCCTTTTACCACAGCTAGGGCACTTCATTCCAATTTGTTGAGCCTTTTGGAGGCGATTAGGTATTTATACTGCTAAATATTTTGCATCTTTTCAAGCTAAATAGATGCCTGGGAATCAAAAAAATGCTAATGTTAGATGAATACTATTAAGCATGTGACAACTGAAAAAATCAATGCTTAAGTTTCCCAGTGCACCTTTCAAGAAGGTATGTGTACCTTTTATGTGTTGATAAGACAACACCTTTGAATTCTATTTAGTTTGGCATGATGCTACATCAACTTATGCTGAATGTAATCTCCCAACTCCCTCATTTGACAGCATCTTTGGTAAATTGTAGCAAAAGTAAAGCAAGTTAAAATATAGCTAATTTGGAACAGGCATGACTATTTAAGGGCCCAATTTGGCAGTGCATTAAAACACACACATTCTTTTTGCATTAATTCTATTCATTTTAAATGGACGCCAACACACTCCAGTGTGTCCATACAGAATCAGACATGTCCCTTTTTTGTAATGCAACACAAGACCATATCCTATGCGTTGCCCTGCATTGTAGAGTGCAATGACACAGGTGCATTGGGGTGCCATCAGGGGCATTTTATTAAAACAATGGGTCTGTGTGCAAGATCATAAGTTGGGCTCCATTGATTGAACAATGCAGTGTGCTTAGTGCTCCTCAGTGAAGAGTGGGTATGGTAATCATTGTGCCAGGAGTTTTGCTAGAATTGTTAAACACCTGGGTCAACTTTGGGCATACCAAGTAGAAGAATAATGCAGTGGGTGTGGCTAAATTTCATTTAACAGTGGGAGGGGCCTAGGGACATGATTAAGTCTGTCCCCCAGTACAATCCCCCCAAGTGAGTCAGAGTGACCTAGGTGGAATATACTGGAGGGCAGGTTGACCCCCAGTACAATCCCTACAATAGTTGACTTTTCAGCTTTGCAATGGTTGTGCAAATGTTTATCAAATCACTCTTTTACTAAAAATACAATAAAATCTTTATTAGCACACATAAACACAACATAACCTACAAATTCCTTTTAAATGCCTACTAAGGCCTAGTTCACATCAGGCATACTAAAGTGTACACTCGTGTGAAGGCCATGCTTATGCACACGGGTGCACAGGTGTTACATACATCCCTGTGCAGGCAGTCCCATTAATATCAATTGAGACTCAGCAGTTGCATGGACACAGTTGCTGCTCCCAATCTGACATTCATATGGGTGTGGGTACACAGCCCCAAATGCAGCTGGTATGAGTTCAGGGACATGCGCCCGTACCCACACAGATGTCAAATTGAGAGCAGCATCTGTGTCCATGCAGATGCTGCTTCCCTATTGACTTCAGTGGGATTGCGTGCACGATGATGTACAGTGCCTTGTAGGTAAATACGGCCTTGCATAGAATCCTAATTCCCTTTCACTGCAGATGAATGAATAGAAGTCTTTGCACAGAGGTCTCATTTATCCTCAAACTGAAGCATATTTACTTGGTTTCAGAGATGAATTAACACATGAGGTACCAGTACCGATCACTCACTGTGTTCATTCAGAAATGGACCGGTAAATGTGACAGGTTTACCAGCCCCACCTCCCCTCTATCCTGAACACTGCACAGATCTCTTGCCTCAGCATCAGCTGCTAACAGCCAGCAGCTCTGCATGAAGGGGACCTCCCCTCTATCCTGAACACTGCACAGATCTCCTGCCTCAGCATCAGCTGCTAACAGCCAGCAGCTCTGCATGAAGGGGACCCAGAGGATCGGTGAGGAACGGGGTCATTGCATGGGGGGTCGGCGTGTTGGGAGGAACTATTTGCAGAGTTAAATGCCCCTGTGGCTCCCCTTCAGCACCTGAAGCTAGCAGAAAGAGGAGGAAAAGACAGCAGATGCAGGGGAGTTACAGAGGATTAATGGGGTTATCGGCCGTGCTTTTGGGGGATCAATATGCAGTGTGTGACAGAGCACAGTGAGTCCTTCCCTACACCTGCACACTGGATGATATGCCACTGGGTGCCATTTAAAATACATGGCATCATATCGCACCAACTCATTACTGTGACAAAAGTAGAGCTTATCCCTTATGGTAGACATGCTTCTGCATAAAAAGGTATCAGGGGAAAAAAAAATGTTTACAGCTATGTGGCCTCCTCCTATGTTGCCTATTGGTATGGTAACTGAGCATATTGTGTCAATCATCTATATAATTATTTGTTGGTATGTGTTTTACAGATTATATTTTGACATGAGGTCTGAGGCAAGTTTTTCTCACTAATCTTTGATTTCAGTCCTCTGAGAAGTAAATCGGGAAAGGCTAAAAAGCTGGAAGAAAGAAAAACTGAACCCTTATTAAGTCCTGAATCTACTCTAGTGACATTACCAAAGTACCTTGAGAAAAGTAAAGGTAAGTTGAATATTTTATAATCTGTGCTTTGAGGATCCTACCATTTAGGAAAAGTAGGGAAGTGACAGTTTTTAGGTGGAAAGTGCCAGTATGTCACTGCATATACAAATGGACCTGCTATCTTCCTAGCTGTGCTGGTGCTTCTTGTATTCTTCCTTCTTTGCTGTATGCATGTATGTGTTCCACACAGGTCTATTTCTTTTGTCTTCTGTGTCTTTCTTGTTTCTAGATGGCACAGTTACTAGCCCTACCTCAGAATCTTCTGCAGTTTCAAAAAAGCGCTTCACTTTGCAGGGTTTTCCTAACCTCAAAACTCAGAAAGGTAACCTAACACCTGCCAGATACTTTGCACTAACCGTACTCTCTTCCACTTTCTCTCCTCTGCGTTTTCTTTAACTTCAGACATCAATACATAGCATACACAAGATTGGCCAAAAGTGTATATAGCACTTCATGGAGTATGCATAAGTGTGTTTTCAGCTATGGTGAAAATATGGGTGGCCATAGACCGGTGGAGAAGAGTTGAGAGATATAACTTCTCTGATCTTATCCTGTGCTTTTTGCTGGACTCTCATAATCTTTTTTTACCAGATTCGGGTGACCTATAGATATTGAAATAAAAAGCAATTCCCTTTTCTTTGGAAGACAGGGAAAGATAATATACTGTAATCAGAGATTTTTCAACATGATAGGGAACTATCTCCAGTAATGCTCCTACATGAATAGTCAGGTTTGCTATGACAACCACCCTTGCAATTGATACCAAAGCAATAACCCTGTTATGATATTTCAGTCTTTGTTACTTGTCACTCAATGTACAGTTTGCACATACAGAACACTGTTATATGAAGTAAACAATAGTTGCCCAAAGCAAAAAATCCAATTCCAGCGTGGAAAGAGGAAACTTATTTGCTTTGGGCAAAACAAACTGTGAATAGGCCATGTAATGTTTGGCCAGTTATCTAGTGTGTGATGGACAACGTGCTGGAGTTTTCCATTGTGACTCCACTTTTTACAAAATTTAAGTCCATAAGTCAGGTTTATTCACCTCCTAGGTCATTCTATTGTGGATTAAAGGCAAAGAAGTGAACAGTCAGTGCAGTATATAGCAAGCCAGTTTTAATTTATTAAAATGCGTTGGAAGTATACCTGGTTTGTTGCTATGTACAACACTGACATATTTTATGTCAACAGTCGGTCCATATTGTCTGACCACAGCAAGCATGCATATAGGTTCATAGTATGGAAATGGAGAAAGACCAGTTACTTCTGGAGAAAGACCAGTTACTTCTGTTTCTACTAATACTGATTCTGTGGAAAAAATGTCTGTCTTCTAACCATTCTTTGTAACTGTATCAGTAATCCACTAATATGAATTATGTTTCTTCCGCTAACAACTTCACCATTAAAAATTGTGTTCTAACTTGCTGCCTTTGAGTTTTTTTTGGAATGATATTCTGCTGTGTTGATTTTAGCAGAAAGCAATAAGAACACCAGTTTTCAGTCCCCATCAGAATCATTCAGTTATAATAGGTTACTGAAATCCAGTAAAGATTTTAGTGTTTGACCAGTTTCCTGCTTGTGCTTTTACTCATTGTCAATAAAAGTCTAGGCCGTATCAGTATTGTAGCAACAATCACTGCTCTAAATAACTTCTTTTCATTAAGCCTCTCAATTCTGCGCTTTTATGAAGTAGGAGGGTTGAGGGTAGACTAGGTTACAATGTATCAACAAATATACATTCATTATCTGAACTGCTTGTGCAACATTTGCACTTTTTTAATCACTTCGCCATTACATTAAGTCAAACACAAAATAATATAAACATAATAACATATAATATAAACACAAAATGTGGAATGGTCAAGTTTGCTACTAAGTATTTACCATAGCATGTTCTATTTCCATACATTAAAATAGTGTGACATTGTGTATAATACATCTGCTAAAACAAATGTAACTTTTATCCCAAAACTCCACAGTACTGTACATAATGTGAAACTTCAGTTTAGAAAAAAATAACCCTTTGCAGGGTTCAACATGTTGACCTTTGCTCAGCTATTTAAACCATGCCTTATATTAGCTGGATGTGCCACTTTACACAAATACTCACTTACTGGATGTTTAGTGATGATTTCCAAATGAGTGGCTGAGATCCCATAGATCTGTACTAACCTGGATAACAATTAATTTGAAAAGAAGCGGGATAATCACTGACAGACACACAGACCAGTACCATACATGCACCGTGATCTGCATTTACCACCATATTTGATAGCTGCATCAAAATTACTGCAATAGCAGACCAATGCAATAGGTTGTGATCTGATTTGGTAATTTGGTGTTCGTCCTTAGGATACAAACACTTTTAAGATGACATTTCTTATATCCTAAAAGTTAATGATCTAAATACAATTTTGAGCAAGTTCTAAGAATCCTAGCTGTCTAGTTCCACAGATCATTAGATAAAATGTTTGATGGCCTTTGCCTGCTAATTTTCTTTACATGCCATTCTAATGTGTGCTTTTCAGAGTTTCCCATATAATAGGTTGAGATGATTGTAGCCATATTAGTGCACTTGTGACAGAAACAACTGAGTACGGTCTGTGATACCTTTTTTATTTGCACTAACATACAGTTTTTCAAGACAAGCTTTCGGGGGGGGGGGGGGTACCCCCTTCTTCAAGGTCCGAGCAGTAGTGCTTGGACCTTGAAGGGGGTACACCCCAAAAGCTTGTCCTGAAAAATTGTATGTTAGTGCAAATTAGAGTATTACGGACATTACTCAATTGTTTCTGCCATATAATAGAGAAATATTATAGAGCAAATAGAGACTGTACTGTGGAAGACCACTCTGCTCAAATTCTACTCAAATTTTAAACTGGAGCCCATCCATCATCCCACAATAAACTCAAAGGTAACTTTTGACATTGATCACCCTATCCTCTCCAGACCTTCAATACCTGTATTTCTCTGTTTTTTTCCTCTTCATCCTCCTGCAGCTTCCCCTACCAGCCCTGACAAAAAAACTAAACGCCATGAAGTAAAGAGTGACCCAACTCCATTTGGTTTAAGAGGTAGAGTGATTCAATTGTTTCATCCTTCAGATTATTACTGCACATTGCATGAATGCAGCACATGAAATCACGAGTAGAAGAAATAATGATTAATTCAGTGTTTGAAAATGTGATTGTGTATGTGTAATACAAACCATTACTGTTTATATCCGAGCATATGTTATTTTTACAATTGATCACTTATAAAGTACATAGATGAATTTTAATGCTACAAATGGATCAGTCAAACTTGAACCTTAATATTGAAATTGGACATGTTCAGCTTTGTGATTTGTTCCTAGATGAATGTTTTATAGTGTATCTAAAGTTAAATCGAGTTTATACTGTTCTCTGTCTCCACTTGGGAGATTCTGTCTATTTTTTTCTCTTCCAGAACAGGAATAGATGGAAATTTTTTTAATGGGGACATCTGGTGATGTCTGTCAAATGGTATTTTCCTCTCACTTTAGAGAGATTACCTTCCTGTTTGCAAGGCAGGAGGTAAATAGGAAAATCTCCCAAATGGCACACAGATAGCAAAAAAAAGTGTGTTAATCATTTTCTACCTCATCTTAAATTTTTGGCTTTAGATTCACTTTAAAGGTACCGTAACTGATTTAAAAGAGGGCTTATTCACACCTTTGTGCTTAAGGTGCACTTACCTTAATTTTTACATAAAGTGCTTAAAGAGTTTTAGCCTTTTTATTTTCAGTGACACAGTTCTGATCTTTATTTTTAAAGTCCGCTATATATGGATCCAAACATGGTCGATTGAGCAGAGATTGGCTGAATTCCATTCCATGTATGGGCATGCTGGTTGTGCACAAGTTGATCTATCAATCAACCTGTGGGAAAGCTTTCCCTGCTATCAGAATACAATAACACAATAGGAGGGATTCCCCTATCCACATCGAGTGTGTGTGTATGAGGAAATGATAAATGGGCTTCCTTAGTGGGTTGTGTGATTACTAATTTTTGGTGCAGTTTCCTGAAAACACATTTTGAGAGAGGGATGAATTGAACCATGTTTGAAATGCATTTTAAAAAATAAGTGCACATCTCCTAAGCCCCCCCAGATGCTCACAGCCAGTCACATGTTTGGAAATAATGACAACCTTAGAAAATCAGAATAGACCGCTATCACTTGTGTAAAGTTGCAGGTGTGGACAGCCACTTATGGTAGTTTGCTGTCACCTTAGTGCATGCCTGGGCTGCGTGCTCAAGATTTAAAGTGTTACTAAACCCACAATATTAAAATTAGTCTGTGTATGCAGTAATGCATGCTTGTTATACTCACTGTGGAACCTAAGGTGTTAATCCTTCGCACTGTGTAAAAAGGATGTTTGATCCTTTCTTCTCTGATCTTCCCCTTCTTCTATTGTCCCCAATCCATCTGCTGATAGAACAGAGCCTTGGGGGCAAGCTGCACATGCTTAGTTTGGTGTGCATTGCTAGACGGGTTTTTTTTTTTTTTCTTGGGAGAGTGCATGTGATCAGCACAGAGGGTTAGGGGTCATACAGCCCCATAGGACAACCCGTGGAGAATGAAAACACATCCTACAAGCTTTAACCAGTGCTCTGCTGGACCTTGTTAGAGGTCACAATACTGTTCTAACTGCTGAGGAGAAAAGGTATTTAGCAGTTTATATTTACTAAAATAATTGCATTTCCATGTTCGGTGTACTGTGGTAGAACAGATAAAGTGAATGCAGGGTCCTGGGATTAGTAACACTCTGGGGCGGACTGACCATTTGGAAACCTGGGCACTGCCCGAGGGCCCGGGGTCAGTAGGAGGCCCCATGAGATGCCCCTGGTACCTTTTTAATAGGCTTTTTTGAGTTTGGGTAAGGACACGGGCCCCATGTTCCCTTGTTTCCCGGGGCCCCAGGAGTTGTCAGTCCGCCCCTGGTAACACTTTAAGAGAAGTGGGGTGAACACCATGGTATGCTACGGGGTGATTTTGTTTAGACTAGAGGGAGGGGTTTTCCAAAAATGCACATATCTGGAACCACACAAAATATACAGAATGCCTGAGAATATTGTGCTTTAAAGTACAGTAGTGTAAATGAGCCCTAAATAAAACATTCTGTGTTTGTATGTGCAAGTATCCGGAATCTGTACACAACTCATGTTACTCTGTCATTTCAAGAACATCCATTTCTGAATTTCTCCTACATATTACCGGGTATCTTTAGAACTTATGAACCCAAAAGCAACTGGTGCACTTGAGTTGGAACTATGTTTTTTCATTTGCAGTGATATTGCTTTGTGTTACAATCAGTATTTATCAATCTCCCATCCATATAAGAAATATTAGAATGATAGAACTTACAATCAGCTCTTTCACAGATAAATGTTCCATTCTCACACTGACGAAGTCCAAATGGCTTAGTACATCTCACCTGACCTCAGCAGACAGACGTCGAATAGGTACTGGGCAAAAAAATGCGTGCTTGTTTTTGAAGTGCATAAAGAGTGCTTCTTGTTCTGGCATGCATTTGGCTTTGTTTGCGGTGCACATAGTGTGGTTAAAATTCACGAAAAAGACTTGTATGATTTTTTAATACATACTATTTTCCTAATATACGTATTTAGATAGATACATTCTGAAGGTGCTAATTTTTAGCTAAGAAACAAAACACATAGATTTAACAAGTGGCATGGGAGCACAATGTAGAACCTGCAAAGGGCCTATTGCCTTGGGGGACTCATCTGTGACCCTGAATCAAAAATACTTGTCTCTCTCCTCCAAACTATACCAGTTGAAGCATTATTTTCACCACATCTTCAATGGCTTTAGAAGGCTTTCAAATTCTTAAATGCCTTATTTTGTTTGAGGCCATTGTGTGTATGGTAGGTGACCTTGTTGGATATCATGGGGCTGTTCCTTTTTGAATTGGGGCTAAAAGAGTTTATCTATGTTTCTGGGTCTGATTGTAAAGTAGTATATTAACCATTGTGTTTGTATGTTGCATTGTGGTAGAAATAGCCCATAAATATCCTCAATAACTGCATGTAAACAAAGTAACTCTGTGCTTCCAGGGATATCATCTATACCTGTATGAGCTGTATAGCACCAGGGATGTAAGAAAAAAAAAAAGCTCTTGTTAACCAGAAGCATACATTTATGAGAAGTTTTTTATTTTTGTTTTTTTTACATCCTTGATGCTATATATGGTGCCCATTTAAAGATAATCCTTTACATACTCCTCACCAGTGATAAGCTTCAGTGTGTTAAGACTTGAATTCAAACCCACATGTGCGAGCCTACCATGAAGCTGACACCTGTACATGCCAACCATCAATGGCAGAGGCATTCCCCACCTTACAGACTCACTTACACATGTCACTTGTATATCTGTGGCACAGGGATTGCCCCTACCACAGATAATTGGTCCGTATAGGTGACAGCTTCTTTCTGGGCTTGCACACATGGGTTCATCAGTTGTCATCCTTCATTATCCCACAGACCTACATCTGTACTCATCTTAAACCTCAGTTTTTCTCCAAATTTCCATCAATCCTCATCCAAGCAAACAGGCATAAATATCAGATTAAAGCCATACACTGTTTTGTTATACAGATTTTTGTTTAGTTTTTTGGCTCAGGAAGAAGGCTGAAAGAAAATTAACCAGCAGATTCCTCTATTCACAAAAGCGTAATGAACAGAAGACTACCTCCACCCAAGACATATTTTGCATTCACTGCTCAGAGACTGCAGCTGCTGATTGACAGAAAAATTTGTAACATGTACCTTCAATTAAAAAAAAAAAAAAACTTTTAGTATTGCTTTAATATCCAGCTCCTTTTTCATCACTTAGTCTGACAAGAATAGGTGGAATTTGCCTTTGAGCTCAGGCTGCCTTAGTGGCTTACCCCTAAGGAGCATGTCTTTGATACCCAGGGGCACACAGGAAGTGGATGGAATGATGTCATTCAAACCAAAAAAGGACCAGTTTTGATTTTCAGAACAGTGAGACTTCAGGTGACAGCGCCAAAGAGGGGAAGAGTATTGCAATAAGAGTTGTTTTTACTTGAACAAGGCCGAGGCTACCTATTTTTTTACATTTTAATTTATTAACAGTCTGGAAAGTACTTAGGCAGCCTTTAATATCCAGAAACACAAAACATTATGAACCCAGTCAATATCCAAAGACTTCGATGGGGAGGTTTCCCAGTGAAGATGACGTGAGAGGATCAACTGAGCAGAAATTTTAAGAGGAATTCTTTTTAGGGAGAGCAGACATAATAACTGTACTTTAAAGTTGTCCTTTCCTTTTTAACGACAGTTGTCCTCTCCATTTGAGGACAATTATGTTTTGAGGAAGAAGGAGCACAACTGATTGCTTATGATTATTTGCCTGACAGCACATCTATATATGGAGTACAGTAATCCAAGTGTTGGTTTGGAGGCTGACTGATCTAAAACAAATAAAAACAGGCATTTAGAGGATGACAGAGGCATGTTATGTTTTGAAAGACAACTAATTTTGTTTTGAGTGCGTTTGGCAAAGTCTTGAAGGACTGGGATGGGATTTGGAGAGAGAGTCTACTGAGGAAAAACCTAAAATGGGCAACGTAGCAATTAGTCTTATCACCGATAACGATATCACACTCATATGCATATATCATTATTAGGTTGGAACAGAACATCCCAGTCACTGGATGTCTCGGAAGAAAATAATGATGGATGGTCCAGTGGGGAAGATCCAATTAATTCTTCTGATGCGGAGGAAGAAGGTGGAGAAACAGGGGATAAAAAGTTGGTAAGTACTGTAGAATTTTCTGAGCCACATATAATACTTCTTTAGTGTCTATAGGCGATTTTGTGAATAATTAAAGAGCCAGTGAAGTAAAAAATAAAGTGATTTTATTTTATCACAAAATGGCTTAAAATAACAATGTAAAGTGTATCCTGAACAGTTCCATGTAGGTAAAACAGAAATGTCAAAATTGAAGTTATAAAGATGTGTCACCATTGTTTTCATGGCCGATTGTCCTTCATGTGCTCTTGTCTTGTGCTTGTCCTTCTGAGCTTTTAGCACGACGGAAGTGACGAGTTCTTGTCTTGGAGAATGCACCTGTTCCAGCTTCTCAGAATGTGAAGAACGACAGTGTCTCCATGCTTTGCTTGTGCGTGTCTGTTTCAATGGACAGACGTGTTTGTGTGTGCGCACGCGTCGTGTGAGTGACCTCCCGCATCTTCTAGGATGCCTTTTTATGATGCTTGTAAGCATCATAATTTGTGATCTTAGAACCTTGTATGACAAACAATACTGCTTAGCAGAGCAATTTCATTGAAGGGAGGGGACACTACATATATGGTCTTTTGATTGACAGGCCCATATGTAATGACCATAAGCGGATGATGTTGCATCAGCCTGCTCATGTTTAAATGATAATATAAACGAAGAATGTATCTCAACAATGTTGTATAAACAAAAATCTACGTATATAACAATATTACCAACTTCTAAAACAGGCTAAATACACTCAGATACTATTAGAATATATTATTGCATACTAATTCTATTTTAGTGACTCTCATGACATTCTACACTAAAGTCCTTTTAACCAGCCATGCCTTTTTATAGAATACTCAGCTCTCAAATGGATAACGCTGCTAACTTCTGGCTCAGCTATAACTGAAGAAATTAACACGAACACTGGTTCAAGGCCATTCACACATTGTATTATTAATTATGATTAATCATAAAAACCAAATATTTTGCAAGCTTGCCATCAATATAATATAAGTGCCAAATTATGAATTTGATATATTCATGTTTATCAAGTACCATAAATGTTCTGCATAAACTTAACAAACACTTTAATAGTGTTTTATGTACTATTTTTTATTTTTATTCAATATTATGACTTTAGGAAATTATACATTGCATTAGAATTGAGCTCATCCAGTATGATCTAGTATTCTCCATCTAGTAGTATGAATTTATGTAAAGTAATAGCTGAGGTATGGTTTCCATAGTGTTAGCAATTATCAACCAATCAATCCAAAATTGTTCAAATTTACTGGCATTCGCTCTAGGATATACCCAAAGCAAGTTATAGACATGAGATGGCTATTGGAAGATCCCACTGCTGAAGTATTTTGCAGCTACAGCTTTTTCCATAACCATGCACAATCTTTTTGGCTGAACTCAAAGGAAGACCCTAGCAATTGTTTGGGAAAATTCATACCAAATTATCAGTTTTTCTGCCCACTGAATGTAGCCAGTTAGTGGTTGTCTGCCGAGGTCACAATGTAAAATGCAATAATAGCAGACATTAGAAAGTAATGTAGGTAAACCTATAAAGTCACATCATGAAAGTATATTCCAATAACCAACAAAGACTTGATTAGGATAGCCCAATATTAAAGTCAGCCATAGATAGATCGAAACTCGTCAGGAACAGACTGAATTTCAATCCACCTCTGGGCAGGCTAGTTGTACTTAAGTCCACAATCAGCTGCAGTACAGCCAACCTGTCAGGTTTTTTTTCATAATATATGGCCTACCTAAATTTACTGCATATTCCCTCTATGAAAATTGCGGAAAAGCAAAATTATACTATGCAGTAATAGTAAACAACTGTTTCTAAATCTACCTTAAACAACTCCTATCTATTGATAGTGAAAAATGTCTTCAAGCAATTCTTGAGAGTATGGAAATCCCATGTGATTCTCACCAGTACAGATACAATTGACTTCCCTAGGAAGAAATGCACACTATTGTATCTCAAGGTTTTGTGTAATGAAATTATGAGCTACTTGTAAGTGTAATGTCCTTTTTGTTTTTTCAGTGCCCTGGGAAATATACAGTAATGGCGGATTATGGAAAGAGTGGTTCAGAGGAACTTCTAGTGAAAAGTGGAGATACAGTTCAGCTTATACGTGAAGAGGAGGAGGGAATGTGGTAAGGAGTGCATAGTGTCTTGTTGATTTCACAATACAGTATATACTGTGAATGCTGATAAGACCTAGTACTTTATGTCATATTCTATAATTTAATCCAATTTCAACATTTGCTATAGTGACCAATTTTCGGCATAACTCTATAGTGACTACTGAGTCAGAGAAAGATCAAATATAAAAATATGTATGCTTTTTAATGTGTGGAATATGCATGAACAAAAAAATCTCCAGATGTATCTGTAGTGCTACACCCATAGGAGCCACTGGAAATTAGCTTAGGTACACAGTCACTCGCTTCCTCAATAACAATCTAGGGGTGGTGGTTTTATTTTTGGAGAACTTGGATAAGGATGAGGGAATTGAGTGGGATACTCCAAAAACAGAAACTATGTACATATATTTCTGTAAGGCTGATGCGGACCTTGCATATAGCAAACTGTGGACTTGGCTTGTAGTAGAACAGTAAAAGCACTCAGGCTTCCTTCTTTAGAGCAACAAGATCAGTAAAGCACACTGCTTTTGTTTGCTCTAAAGAAAGAAGCCAGATTCTGTACAGAGAACTAGGGAGAGACTAAGCTCTTCGGGATATTAGCCGACGTCTCCTGTAGCAAACAAACACACACAGCTGACTCTTTACCCCACAAGGAGTGGGGTGGCAGCAGCTCGAAAAGTCTCTAAGATCTCTCAGCTGTCTGTACTCACGAATGGTCCAGGGACAGCGGGTTGCCTCCTTCCAACTTCCAAGCAACACTTTTCTCCAGACTAGATCTTCAACAGTCAGCCCCTCAGTCAGCTCTCAGTAACTTCAGCATCCAGGCCCTCAGGTCACCCACCTGAGGCCTCTTGAACAGCAAGCATATGGCAGGATAGCCCAGGGGTGCAAACCGCACCCCCTTAGGATGTGCTCCTCTCCTACTGGAAAAGGCCCAGAGCTCAGTGTGCTCAGAGAATATATACATTTACCCAGGATTGGCCAGGGCTGTATAAATATTCAGGGTTGCTATCTGCCTAGCCCCACATCTATAATCCAGAAGGTTCTACTGATTTCTGGAAAGCAGAGGGAGTTATCAGACTGACAGCAACGGAGAACACTGAACAGACTTAACTAATGAGTTGCAGCCACACTAATTACAGCAAGGCAAGCTAAATTTACCTGACAAAAATACACAACGCTCCACTAAACACAGTGAGCCAGCACTAAACCTAACTAATCCTAGCATCTATCTAGGAGGGTGCTACATATCTATTCTTGGAATACTTGTATGATCAAAAGAGGGTTAGCCACTGCTATTTAAACGGAATGTCACCTTTACTCCCCCCTAGTTGATATTTGTTGTATACGAAGTATCTCACACATTTATTTTATAACAGCTGTGGTTAGGATGTGAGTGCCTAGTGTTGAATAGCCCTATACCTTGCTGTTCGGGCAAGTTGCACAATGTATGTAGAATTGGTCACAGCAGAGAGTTCAGTTTGAATTTGCAGTTTTATCAGGGACTGTACTCATGTAATTATTTTCATGTGAAAATTAGATCTTTCATTCAAATATCAAAAAAGGTAATCATGGCAAACCATTGTTTCCAGCCCAAAGTGACTGCCTAGCAAAGGAATCCTGCATGTTATTGTTTGATAATTACCTGTTTTGTGGTTTTAATACAAGACCCCAATTTGTTATGATTAGGTGCTGGTAAAGATTGTTTTTATTTATTTATAAGATTTATTGCATGCTTAACATTTGATGGTGCCATCCATAGCTTTTGGCACCTAGCAGGACATTAAGGGAAAGCTTGTATAGTTTTCAGATGAGTTATGCCATCAGGAATGATTCCAGTATAGAAGAACATTTTATGTATGATTTGTGTGTGCAGTGAATAAAGGTGCTTTTTCTGTTACTAAAAATGCTACAGGTTTGTGAAGAATCTAAGTACCAACAAAGAAGGAATAGTGCCTGCCAGCAACCTAATGACTCTCGTTGGGACTTCCAAGTCAGTGCATTCTCTAAGCAGTTCAGGTGAGCTCCTGTATAGCTGGACTTTGGATTTTTTTTTTTCACTGGTGATGGTAATACATCTCTGTTTTAATCATTGTACAGAATCAGGAACAGCTTCCAGCACTTTAAGCACCTCGTCAAGTTGCAGTGAAAGCTGTAATGCCAGCAGCACCAGCTTTTCAGATATCAAGGGCTGAACTTCAACAAAGTATGAATGCAGGAATGACCCGGTTGGCTAAGTCAAGACTGAAAAATGAATGGGAAGAACAGGGAAGAAAAATGGCTGGTAGAGGTCCAAGAATGAAGATGAATACCTGTTCCACCAAATAGGCACAAAGTGCCTTTAAAGCTCTCCCTACCCTGATCAGTTGCATGCTAGCAATCTAAGCCAATGACTAGGGTATTCAAGGAGGAATGATGCCATGTGCCAGAGTGAACCATATTTGAACTCTGCACTTTCTATATTTGAAGTTCAGTTTACACAACTAAAACCAGTGTTTACACCATCTACATTTCACCTTCCAGTGGTGAATACCATCACCACTGCAGGACTACGTGTCTCAGCACGACATCAAATATGGATGGTGCTGTAGCTCCACATTCCAAGACCGTGCACCTTCTGCAAGTGCATCCAGTTCTTCACATGCAGGTGCAAAATGAATCTATAAAGACTATTATACTTTGTACCTTTTTTTTTTTTTTTTTTTTTTTTTTTTTTTTTTTTTTACACTGTGTTGTTTAGACCAGCTCAATGTTTTGTGACTCAATTTTTAAAAGAAAGAAAACACTGTCAGTTTTACATGGCGCAAGAATTTGATACAAGATTATTTTTTTCCATACTTCAGAAGCAAGCCTTTGTAACCGTATAGAACACTCTAGAGTGAAGTTTCAGTTTAACTTGCATTGTCATTTGTGGAAAATAGTTAATCCAAAACACTGATTTGATTAGGCATTTCCAGGATGCCTTTGGGAAAACATAAACCATAGCATACACGAAGGCTTGGTTCACACTACTGCCATGACAATTTGTCACACTTTTTAGTGTGATTATGTAGTGACTTTGATGTGACTTGGTTGCCGTTTTGCATATTTTATGGGAAATTATAAATCACACCAAAGTAGTACAAGAATCCTTTCCAAAATCGCTCCGTGCCGAGTTGCATTGATGAGAACGGGCACCATCAAACGTGAGATTTTGGTCGCATCAGAAATCACACCAGTGTGAACCAGCATTTTAAACACACTAGTAAAAATAAAATTCTATAGAGCACTTTTATCTTTATTATCAGAAGGAATATGAGGGAGAATAACGTTCTGGGCTCAGCAGATGTTTTCTTCAACACTGTACTACCCATATTATATTTCTTGCTGTAGGTACCTGTACATGGAGTAAACTTGCCATGAAAGCTAAACCATTTCATCTCAAATTGTCAGGGTGTTGATCATGATATTGATCAACACCTTGTACATTGGTTGGAAAGCTTTTTTAATGATTTTATGCTGGTACTGTGTGTGGAACTTCCAAGGGAGGTTGTCATATGTTCGCTGTGTGTTTACCATGAGTAAAAGCGGAATCATCCCTATACATTTCTTGTGGAGGGTCAAAAACTTCATGTATGGGTATCATTACTTAATACTTAACTCCTTGTTTCATTGAGCATACATGTAGCTCCTAATCTCTTATTGCCAGCTGGGCTGGTTTTTAGAATTGAAATAGATGGTTTATAAGTGTTTCTTTTTTCATTATTTTCAGATCACTGTTTTGCTTATCTGGCCTTGGTTATATGCATTCTTTCTCATAGAGGCAAAATGTTATTTGGTCATAGCAATGGATGATTAAATCTGGATCATTTTGACAAGACATATTAAATTGCTGGTTTCCCTGTTAAAATTATGGCCTGAAAGGTGTCTTCCCACGTTTCTCTCCTTCCAGCCCTGATCACTTTCAAAAACTCTGAGCATACAGTGCTTCTTCCCAGCTTCATCCTAAATAGGAGCGCTAGAGTGCTCGGTCAGCAAATAAAAAGTTAATAAAAGGACTTTCCCCTTAAAAAGAGAGTTAATGAATTGCCTATCCCACTGCTCATTCTACGGATTTTTCTGTCACTACAAGACATGGTAATGAGGTAGGGGGCGGAGGAAAGGAACCACAGGTTTCTGAGAGGGACAATGTTTCCAACACACTAAATTTACATCTTTTTTATAATGAAATAAATGGAATATTTCTAAATTTAAGTAGAATGTACCTCCTATCTCTATTTTCCTTTTGTTTCATCTCTCAAATGCAAGCTTTTTACTACTCTTCTTAGACTTCCTGTTCAAAGGTGGCTACATTTGTTCTCCTTGTGTATGTGAATGTAACCACCCTTCCCTGCTTGGCCTCAAGATGGACCACACATCAAACCTGCAGACACATTAAGCTGTATTGGAGTTGTAGTACACAGAGTGGTGCATGGGACCAGAAATAATGGCACTACTCACTCTACAGTAGTAGCGGTGAGATGCATCAGTGGAGAATAGGCAGTAAACACATGACAAAAAAGAAGCCTGAAAACAATGGTAAGAGACTTTTAAACAAAAAAAAATCAGAACCATGGTATCCTTGATCTTTTGGAATTATTGAGTTTAGTGTTAAAGTGTGCTGGATTCTAAATATTCTTCAGCCACTATAGCTCAGCAACATAGTGAAGACCTGTGGCATGGACAGCAAGACAAGGTAAGTATTAACTTTTTTTGAATAATGAGAATCTTGCTTTAAAGGGAAAATGGCCCAGAAAACATTGTGGGATAGACTACTCACGAACTTCTATGGTCAGCTCTACTTAACCTGAAATACTGTGCAAAGATGCTTTCATGGTCTTGTTAAAGTTGTTCACAAGCAATTGCATTAAAGTGGCAGTTTTGGCCAGCTTAAACATAAGTTGCCAATGATTGTGCAGTAAGCAAGAGTACCAAATAGGAAATAGTTTGATATTGAAAGGGTAAATTGATGATGTGGTCTTAAAGTAACTGCCAGGAAAAAGCAGTCATGATGTGACTATTACTTTTGCTTCTACAATCATCTAATTTCTGATAACATTAGTGGTTATAATAATTCCAGCGCTGCTGTGTAGAATAATTTTGCGCTAGACCTGATGCACAGAACTAATTTCCCAGAGTAGACTGAATACTTATATATTTTTTTTTTATTACTGAAAAGCCTATTCATGATGTGTTGATTTTGGGGAGGGTTTCCATTTAGAGACATCAACTGCGATGTACCCTTAAAGTGTTACTAAACCCACAACCGTAAAATCAGTCTGTATATGCAGTAAAGCATGCTGGTTATACTCACTGTGGACCCTAAGGGGTTAATCCTTTGATCCTGACTTCTCTGAGACTCCTTTTCTTCCAGTGTATCCCTCTTATCTCCTGATAAGACATAAGACAATGTGGAGTCACTCTGCATATGCTCAGTTTAGTGTGTATTACTATTAGGGAGGTTTTTGTTTTTCGTCCAAGAGTGTGATCAGCACAGGGTCAATCCGCACTGTCCAGACAGAGGTCATGGGGTCTGCATTCTAGAGCAGAAAAAACTCATCCTACAAGCTTTAATCAGTGCTCTGCTGGACACTGATAGAAGTCACAAGACTGCTGTAACTGCTGATGAGAAAAGGTATTTAGCAGTTTATATTTACTAAAATAATTGCACTTCCATGTTCTGTGTACTGTGGGAGACCAGATAGTTAATGCAGGGTTATGGGTAGAGTGAATTCAGGGTTATAGGTTTAGTAACTCTTTCAAAATATCAATGTTTGGGATGCTAAAAGGAAATTGATGTTAAAAGAAAGCAACTGACCTCACATGAGCAGCTCTGTAACAATACTGCCCAATCTCAGCCTTTAATACTATTTTCTTTTTGGTATTTAGATTATAACAGTGGTTTTATGTAAAATATTCTCTATATTAGGTTTCTTGGAACATTGTGATATAAAACATTTTAAAAAATGGGTTGAACAAGTTTCTATTAAATGTAAGCTTGTGTATATCAGTAACGCGATTATAAAGGCTGAATTGATTGTTGCATTCTTTGTATGAAGGTAAAAAACCTTCATTATGAAGCTCCCCCCTCAGCCCCCCTAATACTTACCTAAGCCCAATCCCGATCCAGAGTTGTGCACAAGAGCTGAGGCTCATCTGGTTCTCTCCCTCCTCATTGGCTCCCATTGCTGTTAATCACAGCCAGTAGAGAGGGAGCAGAGGTGGGGCCGTACCGCGCTCTGTGTGTCTTATGGACACACAGAGCAGGCTCATTAATGAGCATGCACAAGTGGCCCCAGAGTAAGCAGCTTGCTCTGGGGGCACTTAGCAGGGGGGAAGAGTGGGAGGAACCAAGAAGAAGAGAATCAGGGCTGCTCTGTGCAAAACCATTGCACAGAGCAGGTAAGTATGACATGTTTTTAAAAAAAGCTGAGCCTTTAGTATTCCTTTAGGTCCCCTTAATGATAGAAGGATCAACTAATTATTGAGATGTTTTTGCAGTGTTGCAGATCTAGGCATTAACACGTTAAAAACTGATCTTGGGTGACTAGGCCACTGGCCAGCACGGAACTTTGGACAGAGGTGGGAACAATATGATGTTTGTATAGAGAGGCCCATGCACTTACAGGAAATAGGGTCGCAGATCTCTGTTGATTTGAGGAAAAAAAACGTTTTTTTTTTTTTTCAGTGATCAGATTGTTTGTGAAGTTTTACTGCCATATGTTGCCTATGAAAGCTTTTAGGTTTCCTCAAGTTAAGTTCTAGAGCATTTTCCAACAATTCCATGTAACTGGGTACATGCTTCGGGTACTGTGTATACATTTAGTATTTCAATGTTTGTCCCCTCCCATTTGAGCATAATTTATTTTTAAATGCACTTCAGTAATCTGTGGACCTTGAATCTAAACATTTCATTTTCTTGTATAAAACTACAAGGTAAGGAGGTTTACTAAATAGCAACAGTCTGTGAAATTTAGCGGGGTATCCAGCAGAGAAGCCAGCCATTATATATGCCTTTCATTCTGAAGACTTTTCACTGACAAAAATATATTCCAAATAGGTTTGACCAAATACTAGAGAAAATGAATTGCTGAATTTACCGACATAGATGTATATGCTTATATTCTAAAAGCAGAAAATATTGAGGCTGGATTACTAAAAGAATTGAGAATCTTCA